CTATCTATCTATCTATCTATCTATCTATCTATCTATCTATCTATCTACCCATCTACCCATCTATCTACCCATCTATCTACCCATCCCTCTATCCCACAGCTACTTACAAGGTAAAGGTCTCGTTGTATTTGGGGGCCCAGCTGTTGTTTTTGGACTTGGTGGCGTACTTCCTCTTCTTGTCGCTCAGGTGAGGCCCGATGATGAAGACCTCCACGAACGGGCGGAAAATCCCCTGCGTCTGCCACCTCAGGTCGTTGGCAGCCACCACTGAGGCAGAGCAGGAGAGAGGAAGGGCGGGGTGGTGAGTGGTGAGAGAGACCGACTAGGAAAAGTCCTGCTCTCTCTGCTCATTTCACCCTATCGGCCTGATGGTAAATATTCAGATTTTGTCTTTTTTTTTGCTGGGTTTTAGGTCGACTTTGTCTTTAACCCTATAATGCCAAATGTATCATGATACATACGCTTTCTGAAATGTTTTGCGTCTGACTCGTTTTGCATAATTTAATGGTAATAACTCAAAATCCTATTGTACACAATCAGATATACCTGACAACAGAGGGCAGAAGACTACACAAAAAATAATCTTGACCTATCGCATAAATTAATAATATTAAAAATGTATTTTTGTTTTTTCTTCTTACATATTTTGTTAAAAGGCCAAATAAAGACTTCAAACCCAAAAAAAGTAATGTTCTGCTTTGCTTTATTATTGGATCAGTCTTTAAAGGGTTAAAAGGCTGTGAAATAGATCAGTGAGACTGTGACAGAGCGCTCTACTCTTTACCTTTAACGGTGACTTTGTGCTCTCCAGTGTTGGGATGAGTGAAAATCTCCACGTGGATGGACACCTCTCCCACGGCGTCGTCCACCCCGGAGCCTGCAGAACGAGGGCGGCGTTACCACCGAGTACAGACCTCCACACGTCTCTGACTCTAACGCTTTAGTCTCAGACCAAACATAGACAGATGCCACTGTGGTCTCTGTTCTTCCTCCTCCTCTTCCTCCAGACCAACTCTGTTTCAGCTCCTCACACTGAAACGGTTTTGGCCTTTCTCCGGGACGCGACAGGAGGAATCAGAGTGCAGCACAGTGACCTGTCTGTGCACATGTTGTGGTCTCAAAGTGGAGAATCGCACACACACAAAATCGCTATGAGTGGGCCCAGCTTTGATATGACATATCCACTTATCAGATCAAGTTATATTTCACTTAGTTTCACAGAACGGTGTGATTCAGCCACACGTCTTTTGGCTCAAAGCAGAGAGAAAATGAGCTGAATTCAGCTTTGAAGGTACTTTGCGCCCACTCATAGACGCCTTGTGTCTGGTAGGATGCAGAGAAGAAGACAGGAGGGAGCAGAAGCCCCCCCCCCTCCCCCCCTCCCCCGACACAGATCCGGTCAGGGCATGCTCTGATGGACACAGAACAGACAGGTAGAGACACCCACTCCGGGTAAAGACTCATCCAAGCATGGTAAGAGGCGGAGGCAAGACAAGGGAGGGCAGCCTGCTCTCAGATCTGAGGGCGCAGGAGGGAAAAATACCCTAAAAAACTCAAATCTGGAGGTCAGAACGAGCTCAACGGGAGGACGACTGCGACCTGTTGTGCGGTGGACATTCAGTTTTAACTCATTGGCTGCCAAAGACGTCTATAGACGTCAATTCAAATACAACCGTTGACTGCCAAAGACGTCTGTAGACGTCTTTTATGTTTTTCAACGAGAGTGGCTTGGGGGACGATCTGCTAAAGCTTGTCCGTAAATATCAGGCTTCTAGACAGAGTATGTACTAACAAATTGACCCTCTAGGGGGCAGTGCCACTTTTGATGGGAGATGAGCATAGACTGTAGGCAAATAAGAAAAAGGTAATGGTTTGCTATGCGAGAAATGGCGCCGGTGAGACGCAAGTTGAGAAAGAACGGAATAAGGTAGAAACAATTTTTTTTTCCTGATGAAAGAACAGAGTCTACTCTTTCTTTTGGCGTGTTCGGTGTTTACATAGTCATAGCACAAACTATTCTGTGGCTCTTGAAAAATCTGTCAAAATGCTCAAAAAAACTCTGGCAGTCTGGGACTCTCTGTTCTGAAAATGGCTGGCAGTCAACGGGTTAATGTTTTAATTAGTGCCCCCACCGTGGGAAGGCTGTCTTAGCACCACCACCGAAGGCATGTGCGCGCCGGGTTTCTAACCAGCCGCCCACTGAACAAGGTGTCTGTGGGAGGGGGGCGGCTGAGTGTTCCTGGCATGCAGCTCTCTGGGGAGCATGAGCGGATTGTGGGTCGAGCTGCCAACAGGGCTGAAGAGAGCAGCAGTCCTCCATCTGGACCCCTCTACTCAGTGGGGGACGTTTATGGAAGATGAGCAATAAAACTTTGCTGGCTTAGAAAAAAAAAAAATGTAAAAAGCCAGTTTCTTCTCTAGCGTAGAGCAGTCAGAGGTGCATAAATTCACACTTGACTTCCTCGTTTCTCAGCCACCGATAAGCCGGCCTTCACTCACACACCGATCCACACTGTGCTTTCAGCCTGCACTAATAATCCACTCTGACGTGGTGGAAAAAAACCTATTCGGAGGAATCCGTCTGACCAGAGTTAATTTGCTTCCTCTTTCCAGTCAGAGACATTCTCTCTCTACCAGGAAAGCTGCACACGAGCAGATCTGGGTTCTACGCCAGGACACCAAATGTCAGGAAAACACAACAAAGGTCTTCAGGTATCTGCACAAAGTCAACAGATCTGTAACTAAGAGGATAAACTGGAGCTCCTCTGCAGGAAACAGCCAAAAAGCAGATCTCATTCGGTCATAAAATGATATTTTTAAGTCAGAAAATCAGCTGTAGTGCACTTCTGTACTACCTTAATCTATACAGGGTTAAAAAAACCCCAATCAAATGTTTAAACTGAGACATTTTTTGTAACAATCTGTATTTCAAGTTTTAACGTTGAAGCCAATGAAATGGTTTGAATGAGTTAGGATCGATCACATTCTGATATCAATTTGAAATAAAAACACACATCATGTGCAGCTTTTTACTGTCACTTCTTTGTTCCTGTGTGCTTTCAAACTGCATCCAGCTGCATACATACTTTAAACAGAGTCATCTTTGCGTTCCATTGAAAGATGATCAGTAAGATCGATCTGATTTTTTATTTGATTTTAATAAACCTTAACAGTCAACAGTGGATTTTCCTGTTTAGATTTTAAAAGGATTTCTATTATCTGGTCATGTGTTTGCCTTCTTTTTATACTTAAACTTAAAGAAATGGCCATTTCTATAAGAATTTGCTTCCTATGACATCTCTGTTTGTAGGATTTAGATCTGTGTTTGAACTGAATGTCTATCAGTCTTCGGTCCTTTTACGCTCCAATCTGTCTGTCATACGATCCAAGAGGCAGAAGCTCAGATGAGCAACACAAATCCCAGATGGCTGAGTTTTCTTGATTCTTTCTCTCAAAAAGAGACGATTCATATCTCAGAGATTCAGACCACATTTAAACAGCTGTCTGAGAAAGAAAGATAAATGTATGCAGCCTGTCCGCTGGCGTCTAAATGTCAACATCAGGGTTCCATTTCAAACATAGTTATTTAGCTTATTAAGTTGTCTCCAGCCTTCTCAAATCCCTCCCACTGGCCTTCTCCACCAGAGAAAAACACGACTTGTGAGAGACTCACTTTGGACTTCTTTCCTGGCACCATAAACCATTCCACACTCAGCTGTCTCGGACGGCTTTGAAATGGAAATCGTGCAGTTTTTAAATAACCATCGGAGCTTTAAAGGGCACACACACACACTAAGGCCTATTGGAGACAGTCAAATCTGTGCTATCCTGACCAACAAGGACAGAAATCAGACCACCTGAGCTGAGGGATTCATTCTGATGGGCTAGTCTGGGAGACAAAACGGGATGGGCCTCCTCTCTCATCACTGTGTGGGCGTTTGTGTGTGATAATAAAGTAGGAAAGGGCAGGGAGCTCTCCCAGACTAAAACAGCCCAAAGCACATCCTCCTCTGGGTAAGAACCGCCCCCCTTTTTCATCTCCAAAACAGGGCCAGTCGTCTGAAGAGAGGGGATTCCCTCTTTGGTCCTGGCTGGAGACAGATAACACTCATTGCTTCTGCCTCTGTGGGCTTAAGGAAAGCCCCCCCCCCCCCCCCCCGCTCGTCCACGTGCACGTCCACGTGCACACACACGTCCCGCTCTGGCCCTCCGGCGTCTGGGCGCATCATGCTGAATCAGAGGTCCTTCACACTGGGATGCGTTTCCAGGGCGATTCCAGCCTGATGTCTGCACGTCATGCGTGTGCGTGTGCTCATACATACTGACCCGGGGTATGTATGTATGTGTTCCGCTCAGCTCCGGGAGCTCGTCCAGACATCAGCGTCTCATGCATGAACGCGTAACGTTCTTACAGCTGTGATGGGCATGTTTGTACATTTGTGTGTGTGTGTACAGTCGATGCATTGCATTTGTTTGTTGGGATGAGTTTGAGCAGGCAAGGGGTTTTGGGGGGGGGGGTTAGGATGCATATGGGGTTCGGGGGGTGGAAGTTGGAGGGGGCCGGGCTTTGGTCTGGAGGCTTTCTGGTGGTCCTGGTTGTCTCAGGCCCCCTCCCAGCCTGAGTAGCACACATACCCTTTTCTGGGTAAACATCCTCACTAGTGGTGAATCTCACCCCCTTCCCGCCGAACACTGGCCCACGGACGGGAGGAGGGAGGAGGCCAGAAGAGGAGAGACATGTAGAAACATGAAGTTTTTTACAGAGATTACAGAGTCACAGAGCAGAAACATAGACCAACAGGTAGAAACATTGAGCCTGTGAATTGCTGTTTTTAGCAGCGATGCTAACTTCACGCAGCTTTTCTGCTGTAAAACAACCCGATGCGGCCTAAAAAAGCCGGTGGCGCTATTTTCTGTGTTTCTGCAAACCAGTGATCGGGAGAGTTTGCTTTTTTTTCCGAGACAACTGAGAAAATATTGAGCGGAGAGACACATCCTGCTTTGGGAAAGTCTTCACACAGAACAGAGCAGAGACAGACACATAAAGCAAAGAAAGCTCAAAATGAGCAAATAAAGAGGCTGTGAAGAAAAGATTAGAAGAAGGGAGACAGAGGGAGGACTGTGGGAACACTGTTGGATTACCTTGTGCGTTCTGCGACTGTACGAAAGTCTTTATGAGCTTGTCGGTGGCCTGTGTGTAGAGGGACAGCGCGTAGTGCAGCGACTGCAGGTCAGGACTCTTCTCCAGGAAGGTCTTCTTCAGACCCACCCCGCCAGCATGGAAATATTGCTAAAATACAAAAAAATCTCGATTATAAACCCTGTTTGGAGGTTTTTAAATAATTTTTACAAGCCAGGGAACATCTTGTGTCCAACAAGTGCTGACTACAGTTTTATTTTGGGGGATTTTGATCTTTGTTTGGGTATTCTTGGTCTTTTCTGATTAAGAGTAATAAACAAATTGAAATTGTTTGTTATTTCTGCACATAATTAGGATTTAAAATTGGAGGGCTTTGCACGAGTCCTGTTCTGGAAAAGGGAAAAATAAATCAAATATATGTAATTAGAGAATAAAGGAACCACAGACGCTGCAGGCCTTTTATTTATGTTCATCTATTATTGACTTTGTATTCCTTTTCATTTGGGGTTTTTAAATATACTTTTCATATCTGAAAAGCAGCTTTTTAATGCTCTTAAGTCAAATGTCCTCATATTCCACATGTATTACCTTTATGTAACGCTCATCAATTTTTCTAATGAATTTCTTCAAGGCTGTGCATGTTTTCTTGTGAGTTTTCTAATTCCTTCACATATTTACTCTACTTAAAACACTCCTCTGGTTCAATATATAATCGTTAAGAACATTAGAATGACTTTCTAATATCCAGCATGCCATGGAAAACATCACTATGCCAGGCTTCAAACTGATGAAGCTCTCGCTGCAGAACTGAAGCCATAAACTCCTACGGAGCTATTAAAAAAAGGGGCTAATTCTGGTGTTATGCAAGTAGAATAGAAGAGATTAAAAAAAGACCTTATTCATGCCCCTGTGATACCACGTGGAAACGTATTTAAAAGGAAAACCTTCATTTTAAAGCTTCTTGGCTCAATATTGAAGGTTTTCAGGCTCTTTCTCACATGGAAATAATGTTCCCTGTGAGTTAAGAGCTCTTACTCTGACTGTTTGATATATATATGATTAATTTGCCATGCGGTGAGATATGAAAAGTTTGTCCTACCTTGATGGTGTCCAGAGCCAGCTCGATCACAGCGCACTGCTTGGGTGTTAGTGCTTTGGCTTCCTCCCGAACCATGTGCTCCTAAACATCAGGAGAACGGCGACACACAGCAAAACTCATCTTTAGTTCCTGCTCAGTGTGAGAGTCAGGCCCAGAGTGAATAAAACAAACCGTACCTTCAGCTTGGACAGCTGCCCGAGCTCTTTGGCAGCGTTAAAGATCAGCTGCGTGCCCTGGAAGAGACATAGAGTGGAGGGGAAGAAGGGGATAAGAAGAGGGAGGAGAGTTTTGTTACTATCATGACTGAAGGGGGCAGCGCTGTACGGCTTAGTGTCACACAGAGGACGACAATGTTTCTGACAAACACACACACTCAGAAACAGTCACCCTAAGCCGCTTTGGGGGTGCCGGGGTACTTTTTTCCTTCAAGGGCTGCTATCGCACATTCGGTTCTACTCATTCCTTAAAACCACACAAACAAACAGCACGAGGATCTCAGAGTAAGGGAAAGAAAGAAGGTGGGTTTGCGTACTTAAGAGCAAAGAGGTGCACACACACACACACACACTAGTAGCAACCGTACAGTTACACTGAGGTGAGTGAAGGGATTTGCAGTTTAAGGCTAATCCAGTCCTCTGATAAGAGACTCTATCTGTAAGTGCAGCCCCTTCAGATCACTCTTCTTATTCTCTTCTTATTCTTTGAGTTAGGAGATATCATTTTACACGAAATCCTATGGAGCTCCAGTAAACTGTAGCTATAATCCACCCAAAAAACAAACAAAAAAAGTTTTTTTTAACATAAAAAAGTCAAGAATCGTACCCGACTTGCATTAAAATGGCCTTTCCTGATTTACCTGCACCACTCCATTAACAGCGAGTCCCCAAAAACAAAAAGAGCTGGTTTACAATCCACAATCAAACTCCCAAATCCAGCCGTATAAGTTTAAGTTAAACTATGAATGTACAGTTGGGTCAAAGAGGTTTTACGGCATGCAAACAGCACCACTGACTTTTGCATAAACGGGGACAAAAGTCGATATTTCTGCTGCTTTGTCGGACTGAGAGACGGGGACACAGAGAGGAGACATAGAGGAGAGAGACAAGACACATTGATCTGAAGGGGTTTAGTCCTTACATCGCTGTGAGAAGCACTCTTCAGCCTCCCCTGGAAAGAGAGCATGTGGTTAATACATGAAGCAGCGGCCCTCCCAGCTGTGAGGTCACTCTCACTGGTCAGGTGAGCGTGGGCGACAAAACGTGCACGTGCGCTTTGTAAAAATCTTTACAAAAAGACCCTCCTCACTGCCAAAACTAACATTTTCAGTCCAATAAATCATTTTGCTCTCAGCGGCAAAATTAGTATTCTGCGTCACAAACGGCTTTGACAAATTACTGGCTGACAAAGCAGAATGAAGACAAAATGAAAAGGAAAAAAAATAGGATGCATACAAATATGCAGGTGACATATTTGCTTTTTCTGTGTAAAACGTAATTTTTCGTGATGTACAGATAATTTATAATGCAAAAAGGAGTGTTGGGAGGTGAGGTTGGGGCCTGAATTTATCCTTTTTCAACTATAAAAGAGAAAAAGAAAGTAGTGGACATAAAAATGACAAAAATGTCTTGAGTTGAATTAGTAATTGAATATTTTTGTAAATACAAGAATAACTCAATAACTGTCCATCTAAAGTGGAGTTTACATTAGCATATAGTCTAGCCTAGCATAATGCCTGCAATCAGACCAATACTTTCCCCATGTGAACAAAAAAACAAAACATGACATTTCTTAAACAAAAAAGGCAAAAAATGAATAAACCTTTAAAAGTTTAGAGTTGTAGGTAAGAATATGATTTGAAAGCCCATGTTTCCTCTTTTATGCAAAGGTAGCTTTAGCTTTTATTTAGCATTAGCTTCACATTAGCTTCTCATGGGAGCTTAGCAAACCTACTTCTACAATTTTGGGGAAAATATTCAAAAGCTCCTTTCAGAAAGGAACCCTGAAACACACTTTAAAGCTCTGAGGTCTGAAATGACCAATTTACCAATTTGGTAAAGCTATTGAAAAACAAATCCAAATAATTTCTGTATTCTGTAACGAGTGGAGGAACTACAATATACAGCTGGTCAGAATAAACACACAGAGGGCTCTTTAATGTGCTCTTACATCCTGGAGGTGTAAGAAAAAGTATGATACAAACTAAAAAGTGAATGAATGAGTGCATTTCGTATTCCATCGGGTACTAACACAGTTTTGATATTTTGACACATAATAAAGGCTGTTTGACCAACAGCAACCCATAGCAATAAACAGCTTTATATATAATTATAAGGAAAAGGTAACACTTTGTGCATCAGGACTGATCAGGATACAGTCAGAATACGATTTGGTACAACAGAACATGAAACCAAACCAGGACAGACCAACAGGACAGGTCTGCAGAGACACACAGGGCAGTACAGTGTTGCACAGTGTACTGAGAGAGGGACTGTGGGGTTGAAATAGATCAGATGCAAGCAACAAACCCACAGTAACGGGTGGGAGGGGCAGGACAGAGCTCAAACAGGTAGGAGAAGTGAAGACAGAGGAGGAGGAGGAGGAAGAGGAGGATCAGAGCGGGCAAAAAAGAGAAGGACTGGAGGTGGGTCAGGACACCGGATACCAAGCCACCAAAAGATCAGAGTCACCCCACCGGTAGTCCCAGTAGCAACACAATGCATGAGTTGAAACAAGGCAACACCAGGCGCGAGAGAGGAGTACCGTTTCCTGTTTGAGGAGGGGAAGAAGAGACAGCGGAAAGGGGGGGAACTGACCGGAGAGCATGGGGGGGGGGGGGGGGAGCGGGACCTATCGAAAGGACTCAGGAATGCACCATGCTTCTGCCCTCTCACTGAGAGGCAGAGTTGGAGGAGAGAAGAGAGATGGGACAGATCAGAGAGCTGAGGATGTGACAAGTGGGGGGGGGACAAGACGGGGGAAGAACAGGGGCAGCCACATATAGCAGAGAAAAACCAACCACCGTGGACTGACAGACAGACAGACACGCAGGAGTGCTGTACTTACAATCATCTGTGGAGGGAGAGCGGTGGGAGCAGGATGTAATAATAATCACAACAACAACCAGAGAGAAGGGTCAGTCAAGCTGCAAAGAGCCGCACACCAGTCAAAAACACACGCTGGGGGCCCCCGGGCTGGAGCCACATGGTCCAATCGACACCTATCTGGAGCAGTGGCCGCATGCAGGTAGAGTACTTCCAACAAAAATCTCCGCCTGATATATAGAATAATTACTTGGAATTTTCCCAGCAGCTTAAATTGAGGTAACTACCCTAAAAAAACAAAGTTACAACAATGGCGTTCGTTTGATTTGATTGTTTTTTCCTCCTCTCTTAAAAAAGGCCCTCCTGGAATAAACCAGCACTTTTGATACTGATAAATAGAGATTACGCTTTTATTAACAGTGATATGAGGCTCTTTAGTCCAATAACCAAACATAAATAACACGTATATAAGAAACGAAACGTAAAATAAATAAAGAAAAGAAACACAAGAGGCTGCTTTCCATAATGTATCAGTCCTTTTGAAAGTGGGCCAGATCCTCTGGGCAAAGAAATCTCTGCCGGTCTGCTGTGAGTTACTCAGAAAGCAGGAATCTCTCCAAATGGTTGTTGTCTGACATACTGGAGAGCAGCCATGAGCTGATGTTAGAATGATATGGTGCAATCCTTTATTTCTTTCTTTTGCACTGTTCTTAAGAGTTTCAGCTTGATTGCTTGAATGAATGAAGGCACTGGGGGGTTGGGGGGGAGGGGGGGGGTGCTCAGAAGAGAATCAGATGGTTTAATCATTGTTTACACAGAGCCATCTTGAATCGAAACACACACAAAATGTCTCCCTTTCCCTCTCCTTGTTCACAAACTTCTTCGTCTGAGGCTGCCGTGGAAACTACGTGTGTGTTTGTGCACGTTTGTGCACGTGTGCGCTTACACAGTTTGCATGCTTTATGTTTGGGGCTGTGTTGGAATTCAAATGGACATTTCAGCTCTGTTCATGGACACAACTTCGTCTGAATTTTCAGAAAAACTTGAGGTGACTGTGTGATTTTTTTCAATTTCTGGTGTGTTTGCACCTCTGTAACTGTGTGTGTCCGTGCACTTTTTGTGTGTGTGCGCACGCTCACCGTTTGGTCCGTGAGGGGCGGCAGGACGATGGTCTTCTCCATGGTGTTCATCACCAGCTTCCACAGCTCCTTCAGCACGCGTTTCAGCACCGTCTTCTCACAGATCTTAGCGAACAGAGTCAGGCTGGAAAAAGAGCCGTCGGAGAGGTTCAGTGTCAATCAAACCGAGTAGGAACGTGTCTCAGATACTGAACGTGGCCAAACGTGGATCGCTCGAACGCCATGTTGCCTCACTTGCTGTCCAAAAACTCCATGATTGGCTGGAGGACGTTGTCGGCATCTTGGGCCACGCTGCTGGCATTCCCCACGTTCGATGTTCCCTTCACTTGAGCCAAGATGTCTCCCATCTGCTTCACGTTCTCCTCAATGTGAGGCTGGAAACTGTGAGGGACGAGACGAGGCCCTTTGTGATTCGTGCGGCAGACAGTTTGCAGAGCGAGTTCAAGCAGGAGGCAGTGAGGATTTCCTACCTGACCGCGAAGACCCGGCTCAAGTCGTCCATGACGTTGTTCAGCTTGACCTGCAGGTCTTTCAGGAAGTCGCTGGCCTCCACACACAGCTGAGGCAGAACAGGAGTGGATCAAAACTCATTTGGATTGTTGGACAGAGGGACACATGCTTTTTAGCAGGACACAGTCGAAAACTAAATAAAATTTATTTGTATCCATGTATCTAGAGATTGTAAAACATTTTAAAAAAAAAGATCTTTAGACATTTCAGGAAATCCAATAAGACATTATGTATAGATAGATGTATAGATAATTTAGTTAAGTCTCTGCTTTGTGATATGTTCAATTTTTGCTGGGAAATTACAAGCAAATCAATCAAAAGGTAAGAAAAAGGCTTACAGGACCCAAAGTAAAGCCCGGAAAGAGAAAGCTATTTTTATTTCTCTGGATTTCTAACCACTAAACAGCCTCTTGTAAAGACTCTGAACATTCACACTAGTTTATTAAACTGGTTTTGTGCCTTTTCCCCCTAAAACATGTATGTTACGGAGGTGCACGTCCACTTGTGAGACTCACCAGCTTTGCTTTGAAATCAAATCACTGTTGACTTTGATTAAGCGATAGAGCAAATGCTTCTCGAATGAAAACAATACTGAAATGATATTATGGACCCTCGGGGAGGCCAGTGACAAACACAGAGCCTCGTTTGTCATCAGATACAGAGACACTCACGTCTTTTCCACCCATGGCCTCAAACATCTTCTCCAGCTGAACCCTCAGCTGCTGGATGTTGTTGATCAGGATACAGGGCTGAGGATAAACACACCAGCTCACGTCAGAAAGCTTTAAAACACTTCTGTTTACGCACACAACCCCTGGAAATAGTAGGGCTCTTCTTTAAAAATAATTAAAAACAAACAAACAACCAAATATGTAAAATAATTAAAAAAATTACGTTTAATGGCTGAACATTATCCTTGCAAAAGAAAAGTCAATAAAATTACAATTCAGAGCAGCAAAAATAATGGAATCACCATGCTTCTCAATTTCCAAGAACAAATACCTAAAAATGTCTACATAGGCACATTTTATGAGAGCAGAAAAAGGAAAAATTCGAAGGTGACCAAGAAAAAGATGTCAAATAAACATGCTTCTAGAGCAAAAAATCCCAGGAAAAGAAATAAAAAACAAATGGCTTGGCAACCAAACTGTATGAAACCAGCTGCAGTTAATGAAATTTAAATAAAACATTAAGGTAAAATGAAACAAAACAAAAGTCTGTGACGAGATTTATTCTTGAAAAACTGCTGGAGAATAAATCTGGATTAAACAAAAGCAGAATTCTCACCTGAAACAAGCATTATTAGAGTTACTTAGATCCCACTTTTACATTTATTTAAAACAACGTTTTGCTAATGAAGCGAGCCACTCACCACTTTCTCCATCGTAACGTAGTTGGCAAAGAGTTTGGAGATGATATCAGCGTAGGACAGCAGGACGTTGCTGATGGTCTGGAGAACAGAGCAGAGGAGAGGCAAATGGAGATCCCCTCCTCACATCCTGCTATAGAAAAATCATTTTGCTCTACCGGAAACCCACCTTTGCAAATCGCTTCATGTAGTGCCCCACGATCTGTGGGTCCGGACACTCTAACTTCCTGATGATCTCGAAGCTTTGGTTGAGCTGGGAAAACACGTCCACCACCGAGCAGGAGAAGAGAGCGTGTTCTGACGTGACCTGGAACTGTGGGGGGGGGGGAGACAGGGGGTTAAATTTAATGGAGACAGAAGCCTTTGGGTAGCAGGTGAGAGTCTGGGATTCGGCGAAGGAGAGCAGAACATGACCCGAGTCTGACTCAGACCGTGTAGACAGAACACATCAGGATGTTCGTTTGCGGTCCTGTGACGGGGGGGAGCACCTGTCTGTCTCCATGTAATTGGCTCCAGGTTAGAATCAGCTCCAAAACTGGCGAGAGGTGAATGTGGGTGGACTCAGGCAGGAGTCTGGATAACGAGCTCAGGAAGAAACCCGCCCAGAGGTGAGGTGATTAACTCTGAATATCCTGCTGTAAAAGGCTTATTTTCCTCATTGATCTCATGTATGTGGTTTTTAACCCTATAATGCTAAATGTGTCATATTTGATACGGTTTCTGAAGTCTTGTGGATCTGAGACTTTTTGCATCATTCAGTAGTAAATGCTTTTCTCAAACCCCTGTTGTACACATTCAGATATACCTGATAACAGCCAGTAGAAGACAACACCCAAATATATTTTTGACTTATTGCACGCTAATTTGATCAAAATGATTTCTTTTTTTTTTTTACTTCATATGTTGTTGAGGGCCCAAAGAAAGACTTCAGACTAAAAAAATCCAATATTCTTCCTATTTTTCTTGTTTCAGGCCTCAAGGGGATAATAATGTTTTTATAAATTTCAGGGAGATGTTTTATCTGTGCACAGACAACAGTTTTAATAAAAAATAGGGGGTTTATAAAAGTACTCCATCCAGATATACCTGATAACAGCCAGTAGAAGACTACATGAAAATATATTTTTGACTTATTGCACGCTAATTTGATCAAATTAATCAGGCTTTAAGGGGTTAAACAGTGTGTTGCTGCTGCTGTGCTTCTTCTTCTGTGTCTGACGCCGGCAGAAAAGGCAAAGAGGAGAGTGGGAGGCAGAGCAGTGGGGAGGACCAAAGTTTGGGCGATAGCTGGGAGTCAGACAGCGGAGGCACAAAGGGATGGATTACAGCTATTGTGCCTGAGCATCAACAGTGACTCAGCACTTCCCGCCGATTAAGAAAGGAGCTGCAAACTTTTACCCCGTCTTTCTTGTCTCTTTCCAACGCGCCGTGCAGGAAGTCACGGGAGACCTCCTCGTTCTCGTCCAGCCACTGGATGACGAACGGCTCGAACCACCTGCAGAGAGCAGCAGCTTAACCACCAGCAAACCACTAAGTGCTTCTTTAGAGATTCTTTTCTTCTTTTGCTGAAGAAGCTGCTACTCACGCCGGGTATTCAGGCACCCTGCTCTTGAAGAAGGGCAGGTCTTTGCAGTACTCGTTGTACAGCCACTTCACCTTGAAGTGCAGGTTCATGTAGTCTGCACTCTTGCACAGGCGGTTCTTCTCGTGTTCTTAAAAGAAGGAGATGGAGCACATAAATCCAAGAGGAGTTTGGGTCCGATCTCTCATATTCAGTTCCCACAGATGGGATGTGTTGCTTTGTGAAGTAGCATGTATTCAATTAAACACTCCACCTACGATCCCTTACATAGACTAAAGTATTTAAACACAGCACTTTTGAATTTGAACTAAAAACTGCACTATGAAAGGTTTTTTAAATTGGTTTTTAGTGAACAAAGCCATTAAGATACACATTTGCCCACATTTCCATGCCCTCTGAGTTCAGGAGACTTATACACTCACCCTCCATAGCATACTTCATATCCTGAGCAAACAGGTTCCACATCACTTCAGCACTGATTTTTCCCACATTGAGCTCCTGGGGAAATCTAAATGGAGAAGAAGAACACACGTGAAACTGAGTGGATGAAAAGCCTGAGCAGGTGGTTTAAGTGTCACAAACTTCAGTTCAATCTAACATCATTCGGGATGCGATCATGAGATAAAGAAAAATCGAAGCATACTGATTTAGGCAGGGGGTGTAGGAGTTCTTGTCCTCCTCTATGATGGAGACGATGAGTGTGATCAGCTTGGACCAGAAGTCCAGGTTCTTGATGCTGGGTCCCTGCTCCTCTGGGGGCACAGCGCCCTGCTTGGCCTGCAGAGACATAACCAGAGCAAACACTTTATCAGACTTTTCTGGGAAACATTTGGATGCTTTCCACTTTATTTGCAATGCATGCTGAGAAGATGAGTAAAGTTTTGGGTATCACTTGAAGGCATGATAACTCTGAATATTTTAGTCTGGATAGGCAAGAAGAAATAAGAATAAAAATGTGAAAACTCATTTTTGAAGCTTATTTAGATTGGCCACATTCATTCGGTGCTATAAAAAATCTGATTCTACATCAATACTTCTTTTCTATAATGTCATTTGCATGTTTGATGTCATGACTCATCAGGCTGGAATGATGACACATAAATAATTTCACTGCAGAGTTCGGCCCAATTAAGATTTGCTTGGAGTTTAACTCTCCTTAAATCTGAAAACTTGAATTAAATGAATGTTACGACACTGTATGGGCTCATTCAAACAATGGCTTGCCGTCTACATCAAATATAATACCGAGTCTTTGAGGCACAGCCTAAGGCCTGTAAAGGTATTTCCACCTAATTTGGTTTACTTAGAATAACCTTAATGTAAGCGTGGATGGATTCTCGTTCAGTCTGGATAATGATACTGGTGGTGGCTGTTTGAAATTCACAGGGGAAGCTTTCAGAGGGTTTCTGCGAGTTTAGGAAAGCTTTGTTGAAATGCAGGAATGAAGGCTGGATGCACAGACTGTGAGGATAATGAGATGTCGCCCCTCAGGCACATGCATGCACGCTAAGAAGAAACTCCTCTCCAACTTTAAAAAAGATAACAATGAAATTCAGAGTGAAAAAAAAACACTCACTCATAAGCCACCCTTAAAAATCCTCCAAAATGCTCTAAATTCCCCTCAACGGCTTTATTGGAACACATTTGTGTGTATTACTTGAACTCGCTATTGTTTCCTTTTGCCATGGCAACAATCGGGCTGCTGTGCTCGCTTCCCAGAGTCACGACGGACTTTTATGTTTGGAGGACAAAAACAGACGCACGTCTAAGACTCACTGGGAGGGAAATCAATACATGTATAATCTCTTTCTTCACTTCTCTAGGGAAAGCATATATTCCGAAGGTTCTTTTTCTTTCATGGGACTCTTTTCTCCTTCAGGGCCTCAGAGAAAGTCTCCTCATATGTTATCTCTTAGTGTTTTGTCTGGGGGATTGTTTGGTACACATACAAGATATACTTTACTCCTTACCTCAGACTCAGGGGTATAAAATGCACTATGATTTGTTTTACTTTAGATCGGCTCGGTACGTCATATGAACCAATTGTATGGTGGTGCTGGTTTCTCTCACTTCATGAACTTTTCTCTTTTAGTAAATTTCTATTTCTTACTCACTCGGACAGACTCAGACTTTTGCTTTAGAATAGAATATCCACAGCACACACACTCAGCCCTGTGCTGTTTCTCCTCACCGGGTCTGTCTGGTACTCCCGACTGTAGAGCTCATGGCAGTTATTAAAGATGTACTCGTAGGTGGAGTTGAGGCAAGCTTTCACGCAGTCCTTCACTACCTGACTGGCTCTGGGTGGAGACTGGAGCTCCTGGACCTGAACACACACAAAGAGACGAGACAAAGATTGATATCCGAAATAATCTAAATCACACATTAAGTAGAAATTCTTTCGGCCGTGTATCTATTTTCTATGTTGGTCAAACCATTCAGCCAATGACCCACCAAAGATGACATATTACACATTTATTTAAGTCAATCTGAGCTGTCGGTGGATAAAATGGAGATGAACTGACTGACGTGGAGAGAGAAAGTCTGTACCTTCATTCTGAAGAAGGTGATACTGGTGAGAAGGTCCACTGTGGACTTGAGGTCCTGGAGCCTTTCAGGACTGCTGGCTGGAAAGTTGTTCTGCAATGAAATTAAAGGAGAAAAAAACAATATACAGAGAGCTACAACACACAGAATAAAGAAGGCAATGTGAGATGAAAATAGCCTTACTCGGTACATGGACAGGTCGATCCTCAGAGAGTTGTGCAGCTGATCTAGAAGTTTCACGAATCGCTCTTTCTGTGGGTTACAAAGTGGCAAAAAACAACAATCTCAGAAGCTCAGGTCGTTGAGCAACAACACCAGAAGGAAACAGGTTTATTGAATAAGGCTGTTGACTATGGATCTGCTGAATGGATGTCCATTAGCCTCACCCCGAAGTTGGAAGCGGCGAAGCGGTCGGAGGCAGACACGTTGTTGGTGGCCTGGGTGGTGTGTGCGTAGTAGGCATTGATGTTGGCCAGCAGGGTGCTCATCACAGCGGGCACTCCCGGGCACATGTACTTAGACGACAAGCAGGCAAAGTGGCTGCAAACGAAGGGGACAAGCGTGTCAGCAAACAGTGGATATTAGCATCTTAGAGAGATTAGCAAACCAAAGCAGGCAGCATGCAGCAGCAACACCACAGTGGGAGGCTCTTAGATGAAGAAGCATACGTCATGGCCTGGTAAATGGACTCCACGCCGTAGCGCATGGCAAACTCGTCCACTATCTCCTGGGGAGTCTCCTCAAAGTAGACCTTCCACGCATCGTCTCCTTTAGCGTCGGGGATCTTGACCACGCCGTTATTCTGGATGTCGGTCACATAATGGAAGAGGTTCTGCAGCAGAGAAAACAAATCAGGGATAAGAGAGGAGAAAGCAGGAGGGAGAGAAAAAGGAGGCAAAGATACAGGATAAAGGCTTAAGACTTCATTTTTATGTTGAGTTTAAGCGTGACACATTTTTAAAAACCATTTAATTGCCCACTGCTAGCTCTCAGTCCGTCGTGTCTGTTGGCTGAGCAACATAAAAAGCCATAAAACTAGGAGGCCAGCAGAAGACATCATTTAAGCCATAAAACATAACACCACCATAAAACACTGAGTGAGGTTACAGGTACTTATGTGGAGCAATAAGTCGGCCGTTTGTCGGTTACGGTTCGGCTAATGTGCTCTGTGGAGTAATGACCTGCACAGATCTGTGATTGGTCCAGTTTTCTGTGCAGTGCACAGGTGTGTCTGATGTCTCTGCCTTATGCAAGTGTACTTGTCTTTGTAGAGCAAAGCAAACTTCAGAGTATTAACCTGGAATGGATCGATTATGAAACCAACCGTGAGGCAGATTATCCTGTTCTCAGTTGCTCAATTGGTCAGCTGAACTGAGGAATGACCTGCTGGAAAACAGGGTTTCCCACCATCATGGTTCTCATTCCTGGACCAGCTCAGTGCGTTTCAGCCACTAAAGGCTTTTGGTAAGGAACCAGTTTCCAGTTGGATTTGAGTGAGAGCATTAAAACCGAGATGAGGGGTGGCCTTCCACTAAACGTGTTAAAGCCGAGGAGTCAAACAGCGACAAGAAAAAACCTTTTAACTTCTACTTTAGACATCCGAGGGGAAAGAAAGCTGACTACTGACTGACTTTGGAATCAAACTGGTTCCCTGGTGGCTGGAAAATCCTGAGTGTGAGATGTAACAGTGCAAAAAGACTCGGAGAGAACCGAAATCTTGCCGTTCATAATGGCACACAGTGAGATAAACCACAGCCGTACACCCTCACTGCTGATTGGCTCTTTGTGTTGAGGCGCAGACAAAAGATTTTGCATTGAAACTCCTCCAAATGTCCATAAACTGACATCAGGATTGTCGTGTTTTTGTTATTTTACTTGTTGTGCAGCCATGCTCTCCAAGTTTGACGTGTAATGGTGAATGTTTTACCTCAAAGATATTTTTTCCAGCATGGATTTCTAATTGGCTTTGCTCAGTAGGAGATTCATGGAGAAAGACTGAGTTTACCTCGTGCAGGCAAGTGTACTGGACGTGATACGGGGCAACCGTCTCTTCTCCTTTGATCTCCACACTAATGTGCATGCGGATCGCCCCAGAAACCGCCGACTTGTCCGTTCGTTTGTCTGCCAAGAGCACAAAACGTTGAATGATTTAAATCACAGTCCATAACTGCTTAACGGGATTTATCCGACCAAAGCGACGAGAGGCCGTCGGGATATTACGGTTTAACCTCTGAGGAGCAACGGCCCAACTGACCCAGATTGTACCAGACGTCCATCTCTCCGCTCAGGGTGCGGACCTCAATGATGGTTTGCCCCAGGAAGTCGTCGGACTCTCGTTTGAACTTCTGCTTCACCCGAGACTTAATGTCGTCGTCCTCGTCCCAGACTCGCACCTTAATGCGGTCTGAGGAGTTGTGACACTCACTGTGATCCAGAAGTGAGTGACAGAAACCAAATAAAGACAGTTACACCTGCACTTTGACAGTATTTTCATATGAAACAAAAAACTGGCTAGAGCAGATCTAAAGACTTTGAGTTAGTCAGCTTATTGAATAGTATGAGATGGTTAATATAATCTGCATTGATTGTACATTAAAAAATGACAAAACAACAAAGCATGTTCAGTCAGAGGCTTCTTCACCTATGCTGACGTCTTTCAAAATGAGCTGCTATTAGCTTGATGCTTCAAAGCCTCATTATCAGACCCCATTAGGTATTTAGAAATGAAACTCTCAGACATGACAGGGCATATTTCCCTCTGCACCTCCACGTGTTTCACACGACTCACAAGTTAAACGTCTCCTCCCAGACTGGATTGAGGTTGCCGTAGATGGTCTTGGTCCTCTTTTTGGTCTTTCCCACCTGGACCGTTACGTAAGGATCACTGGAACCGGTTTTATCTTTGGCCTGCAGACCTTGAGCACACAGCACTGGGAAGATGGAGAAAGGGGGGTCATTAGGTATTGTATGACAAATAAATGAGGTGATGCGGTCACTCCATGCTGGCCAGATGCTTTCACAGCTGCTGCCCTGAGCCTGAACCACCCCCCCGCTCACCTGTGATGCTGATCTTGGCCGACCATTTTGATGTTCCGTCGAGCACGCTCTGCTTGATCTGCTTCATATGGGTGACGTGGGTGGCCTTGAGGACTGAGAATACCTCCTGGATGAGCTCAAAGATCTCGGGTTTGTTCCTCTCGCGGATCTTCATGCGGTCCTTCAGGACCATGATGATGTTCTGGGTTCGGTCCTCGGCTCCATGTTTGGAGCTCTTCTCTGCTGCTCCTGGTGAGCGAGACAAGCAAAGCAACAAACACGTGGAATAAAAATCCAAAATAAATACGGTAGAAGACAGAGGTCATTATGATAAATTGAGGAAATTCATCAGAGAATAAATTTCCAGAGAGTGTTTGGAAAGCCTGTGTCAGAGATAAAAGAATTAGATCTATTTCATAAAAAGACCCCCAGAGTAATAAAAAAACTGAGCAAACGCTAGGCAGAAAGAGAGGTGGATGACAAAAAAAGACGAATGGCTTTTAATATGTCCCTAAGAAAAAAGGGAAAGAAGCAATTCAAAGGTGGAGTGGTAGATCAATTTGGGCTTGGCAGTAATAAAATGAAGAGAAAATAAATGGGATTGCGTTGTTTTTCTCTGAGCTGCAAAAATAGAGCCAACAGAGAAGAAAATCTAGAACATGTATGCTCATAAATGAAAGGAGGGACAAGGGTGTATTTAAAAGCCATTTTACTCTAGCATTAGCAAGCTTTCCCCCCCCCCCCCTTCCAAAAGAAACCAAACCCTTAGCACTTCACCACAGCTGGTCTATTCTTTACAGATGGTGTAAGACAGAAAGTACGAGAAAAAGAATCAGGTCAAGCTGTTCAGAGCTAAAACCAAATCAGGAAAAAAAATGCAAACCCCACCCTAAAGTAAACTTTGCACATGAGAAAGCACAGATTTATTTTTCAAGTGACTATCATCCCATCATTAGAGCACCTCCTGATTTGAACCTGGTTAAAAGCGCGTCTCTTACTTTGCAGGCAGTCTGCGTTGAGCAGGTCCTGGCACTTCTCGTGGCACTTGACCCCACATTCGGTGCAGCGCATGCCCTGGCGGGCGATGCCCCACAGGAGGCCCTCACACTCGTAGCAGTACGTGGGCGTGGTGGCCGTCCACACCTCAAAATTGTGCGGGGTGGTGCAGGAGATGGGATAGATGAGAGCCTGCAGGGTCTTCTTGTAGACGTGACTCTTCTACAGAGGGACAGGGAAGAGTAAGAGTAAAAGACCAGAACCCTAAAACTGTGCATGCATTGTTTTCTAATGTGCCAGAGAGGACTGACCAGTTCTTCGTTATGCAGGGTGCTGGACGTCAGAGCTGAAGTGATGCCCGCCTTCCGGGAGTTCTGGACCAAGGACTGAGTGACAGTAAATAAGAAAAGGTTAGTTGCTCTATATGCTCAAATTCACAGGTAATAATAGAAGAATAGTTGTCATAGTTCCCTCTTTGGGAAGAAATGTTTGTTGCATCCAACGAAAATGACCACTGAAAAATTACCTTTCATTATATTTAGGAATGCACAAATTTTACACAAATAGCCTAATGGTGATTGAATATCAAATCCAACAAAAAATACGGTAAGCAGGTTATAAAATTTGCATGTAACTGTGCGCATAGTTTGCCCCAAACTAAATACAGCCAGCAGGCAGTATGCGCTGATAATGTCTGTCTGGAAACGTTTTAGCAGTTACAGGAGACCGCAGTAAAACTGGAGGTAATTTCTTTTCTGTTTAAAATGTCCACATGTTCTTTATTACTAGAGCAACCCTCACGACTCTGAGTCTGATTGTTTCTAGAGCAAACGATACTCACCATAGCCTGTCACGATGAGGTGGGAAGAGAAGTGGGAGAGATTCATATTAGGTAAGGATTAGAATAATGTTCAAATTATTCAGTGTATTTATCATGCACACATTTAATTAAATCTCTGGATAAAGAATGAACATCACAGTAGAGGATCGAGGGAAGCAACAGGATCTGCTAAGGGAAGGATGCAGAGTTTGTGGAGACCTAAAGACCCAAAGGACTCACTACTATGACCTATTACTGCCCATCGGGCCCGAGCAAAGCTCAGCTCAATAAATCACCCGGCACACTCACAAATCATCGGCGAATGAGTTTGTGTGAAAGACAAAACAAAGCAGGTGCACTGGCCTGTGTCTGCCTGTCACTGTGTACTGCATGATTATTAATTAATGGAGACAGCCAGTCAGGGTAATTACTGTTTGGCTGCTCCTTGGGCAGAACGTGTTTAGGGAAAAGGCACAATGTGCCTTAGCTGGCAGCTGGGAGTTATATGCAGGGTTTGGTTTGTTTCCTTTTTAAAGAACCCTTTCGCCTTAAAAATATTGTTTGACATTTTGTTCGACACATTATGGCACATGTTAGTCCTTTCAAATGATCAAAATAGTCATCTCCTTGTAAATAACAAGACAAATGAAATAATTCTTTATGCATCTTTCCTAAAGTGTTTATATTACATTACACACTTTAAATATTACTGCCACATGTTTGGCAGTCACATTAGAGACACAAATAAAGGGAATTTGGCAAATAATTTGTGGATTCCAGTGTCAAAAAGATATATGGATTAAGTCAAAGCATGGAGAGCAAGAAGAAAAAAGAAAAAATGGAAGCAAACAAATTAGAAGAAAGGGGAAAAACTTCTGAGCCGAGTGAGAAATGAGTTATTCGGGGGATATGAAACATAAAAATGAGTGCAGACTCACCAGATCTCTGACCAGGGGCATAGCTTTCCTCTTCCTGAGGTCTGGCATGCTGTCGATGCTGTACAGAGCACCACCCATGCTGGACAGAAAAAAAAACCACATGCACATTAAATCAGCTTTCTTTCCAGCCACAGATGTCAATTAAAATCTAGACAAAACAAATCAATTTCACAATGGGCCTTGCTTTGTTTGGCAGGTTAAAGATTTTCACTGGCTGTGGTGGTGTCAGCGCCATGGTTACTTACCCCGCTGATAAAAGCAGAGAGGCAATGCCCACACTTTCTCCTCTGGCCTGGGGAGGGGGGACAGAGAGATTAAATGGAAAAAGCGAGAAGAGGCAGGTGCCATTAGAGAACTAACTGGAAAAACAGGGAGTGCACTTTATTACATTATCCTTCTTACTGGGCACAGAGTCAGGAGACACTGAATGGTGTTCCTCAGTGAAAAGCTCATTCTCATGTCAAGTTCTGTGGATTTACCACTAATAGCAGAGACCACAGGTGTAAAACAGTGGTAAAAGTGTAATTTGAAAAAAGGGGAAACAAGAGGACCAGCATCGGTTGGTCGTGTCTTTTGAAGTAAATGTGATGCAACTATTGACATCAGACAAAGGATATCAAGGTTTTCTGGCAATACTGGGGCAAAAAAACTATTAAGACCTGATGGCTATCCCTTTAATAACTCCTCTGTTACCGAAATACAGTTTTTTTTAGTCTACATCTTCAAATACCGATGCACTTTAATGGTTACAAAATCACACTGACAGCAGAAAGAGTCCCGATTGCAATGACTGGAAATTGACTGGCATGCAGAAAGGAATGTGCCTTCTTGCTTTCCGTAGATAGATACAGGGTACAGCATAAATCAGAGGGGTGAACACAGTGTTGGCCACACCCACCTGAGCGTCGGCTCCAGCCTCGGGTAATCAGACTGGGATACATGCAAATCGCTACGAGGATGGCAAACAACTGAAAAGAAAATAATGAAATGGCAAAAAACAAAAAACAAGGGGTAAACAGAGACCGTAATAAACACGAGACAGCGTCATCGACAGCAGAGACTTCAAAACACAGACAGGTTAAGAAAAATGTATAAATACATCGAAACACACTATAAAACACAGCAACGGTACGACATGCGGGGATTGGTGCAACACCTAAAAGAGATCAGACAGTCGTGGGTCGAAGAGAAGCGGCACAACAGACGACATTCTGAGTTCCCCAGGTTCGGACAGGTTCACCAACACAGAGAAACCATCAGGCCGTACCTCCTGTAACTGTAGTCGCACTCGGCTGAACAGTCTGAGCCAGTTGGCCTTGGCTCTGGCAGGACCGGGCTCCATCATCTCCCTCTTTGGGAAGCTGAAAAAAGAAAATCTAAAGTTAACTTGTTGAATCCATCGATCTGTTAGAATTTGGCTATAATTACCCACTTTAGCATTGTATGCTATCACATAATCTATGTAAATTACTGATTGTCGTATTCCTTTTCGAACTATATTTTTGTGTTAAATTTTCTGGCTGTAACAGATTCTCCTTTTCTCTCTTTTTCTCTCTCTGTTGCTTTAGACACAAGTCGTTAGGTCAACACATACACTTTGTTATCACATTCCAAGGTTACCTGCATTAATTAGGACCTAGCCAGTTCATGTCAGGGTTATAGGGTTAGTAAGTAACTGGCCAATAAGCACTTTAATAAGTCTTTTCCCACTGAGACCCAGAGAGAGGTTTTTGTCTGTTAGAGCCCAGCTGATATACTTAACTGTGACCCATAATTGTCATTTTTTATACTTTTGATCTACTCTGGTTAGTTCTCAGGCTAAAGAATCGGACTAACAGATTGGTATGGAAGCTTGGATGGAATGAGTGGAGCGTGTTCCCACTTCCCACCAGAAAAGTTTCTGTTGGTTTTATTCCATTTTTGGGGGCAGCTCTCACCTGGGAACCGGGGGCTCCTCGGCTTTCTCGACGGGAGCTGAGGGCGTTTCTATTCCCGGAGGCTGCTCGAAGTGGGGGGACTCCTCCAGGGGCGCCTCGGCTTGGGGCTCCAGCTCTGGGGGCTTTGGGTCCTGGTTCTGAGCCTGAGCCTGAATCGTGGACGGCGTCGTTGCCATGGCGGGCGGGTCCTGCTGTAGGGGGGCAAACGGCGGCCTGGTGGGGTCGGCTGTGAGTGATGGGAAGGGGAAGGGGGTGTCCTGGGAGACGGGCGGCGGTTCGGTCGCCGTGGCGACCGGCTGGAGCTGGTCGCCGGCCTGCTGCTGCTGGTGGTGCAGAGAGGCCTGCTTCTCCAATGGCGGCCTGGTGGTCCCCGGGCCTTCGGGGGGGGGAATCAGGCCGGGAGCAGTAGTGGGGGGCGTCGGGGTGTAGGGCGGCTCCTGGTCTTCACTTTGCACGCCATCCAGGGGGTACAGATCCTCGTCCTCGTACGGGATCTCCTCCTCGTCCTCGTAGTGGTACTCGCCCTCCTCTTCGTCGTACAGGGCGCCCCCCTCGCCGCCATCTTTGAGGTAGCCCCCCTCGTCGCTGTAGGCGCCCTGGGGGTCCTCGCCCTCCCAGCCCGGGGAGTCCTCTTTGCCGTAGCTGACGGAGGAGTGGCAGGAGTGGTAGGAGTCGTTCTCGTCGTAGAACTCGGAGCCCCGCAGGCTCTCGCCGTCCCCGGGGACGAAGCCCTCGCTGAGCTGGGAGCTGCCCCGGCTCAGGTCGCCCGACGAGGCGTAGCGGCTGTCCGTGGGGCTGAGGCCAAGCGGGAGACAGAGACCGTTCAGACAAACACACACCGGCAACAAACGACCAAAAGAAATTACAGATGGGGATTCCCACAGGTGCACGGTCAGGATATTGGGTGTCACTGTTAAGGTCTGCTAGGCCAGGGAGGGAGACATCTACCCCAAACCATAAGAGTTGGAACCAAACACTGGGAAGATTAGCTTAAGGTCTGATATGCATCTACGTGACATAAAAGGATATAGTTTTAGTAACGGGGACAGGTTTCTATGGATACAACATTGGCTCACTTGTTAATTCAAACGGAGAGATCCTGCATTCAAAAGCACGCCTGCTTGCAAAAGCATTACACGTTTCTCCAAAAAATGGAAGAAATAAACAGATAAATGGAATTTAACATTGAGATACTGAGTTCAATCCATCAAAACCAGCCTTTTTTTTTGCCGATGTGCATGTGAACGACTTTTCTTATGCTCGCATTAATGTACGAGGCAACTAGAGATTTGAAACACACTGAAACCAACCTCTTAAACACACCGGGACAAGGACTCACACTTCGCTGTTTTGTGTCTATTGATTAGGGCTGTGATGGTTTAATAATGCAGCAGCAGGAGCAGCAAAGGAGAGAGCTGTGTTACGGCTTTGGGCTGTGAGCCAGAGCCAAGTACCAATAAATAGACACAGAAACACTCAATCACAGCACTTTGATTTTCTCTTCATCACCTGTCTCTCAATAGCTCTCCTCTCTCATCTATCACAGGCTGTGCAAAAATGCTTGCATAACGCTAAAGTCTAAATACATGTGCGGCCTCTTTCCTGACTAAAAATAACCAATCGGGATGAAATAAAGATGAAAATTAATGCAATCTCCCTCTGCCTTTCTGCTGAGGTGGAGCCACTGGGCTGACAGCCTCCTGCTGCCTCCTAAGTGGGAATTAAGTGTGTATAATTAACAAGTGTGGAACACCCAGAACAAGACAGGGCTCTTCTTAAAGTCTCACATCCAGCGTGAGGCCGTAATAACAAGCTGTCATGACAACAGACGCGCACAGACTCACAGAGGAGGCTCCACCGGCTCCAAACCGACAATTAACCTCTCTGTCTCTGACTCTGTACAAAACAACGTGGTTCACCCCCACACACACAGGAACAGAAGACCGCACATAACTTCAAAACAAAGCGGGAGAGTAGCGGGACACATTGTTATTTATCGGTGGGCTTCGGGGCTGATTCGGGGACCGGGAGAGTTTCGACTGAGAATTGGCAAAAAATATGCAGAAAATACATCATACATGAAGATAAGAGGGGGGTGAGAGCGCATGCATGCAAGCACAGCGAGCGAGGAGGACGGGACAAGTCCACCACTGACGTCACAGCGAGACGGAGTCACAGGCCGGAGCAGGGGGGAGGCAGGGGGAGGCACAGAGACCCACCTATCGGACAGCGAGTGCCTACTGTCTAGAGAATACTGACGACTGGTGCGTCGGCTCGAGCCGGAGCCTGAGTCGATATCGCTGCGCCCGTTGGTGGCGGAGTCTAAACTATCATAGTGTCTGGCAAGAGGAGCAGGGAGGGAGGTAAGGGAGGAGGGGAGAGGTGGGAGAGGAGCATCAGTAGAGCTCAGTGACAATCTATCCAAAGAAAGCTCTAACCACTCTGGTCTGGCTGACTTTAACTGTTTTGGTAGCTACTGGTCAGGTCCAAATGCTTTCTGTTATCACGCACCGTTCTCACTGTTAACACACCCACTCAGAAGTTATCCGAGGTCTGTTTTCCAAAGTTAATATGAGGTCGTGGAATTATTTATTTATTTTTCTGACAAGGTAACGCAAAGTCTTCCACGTTCTCCCTCCAGAGAAATATACAAACTCAGGGTAACATGAAAGGGTTGTCACATCAAAAGGCAAGAAATTCCCCAAAATATTCTTATAAGACGTTTGAAATTTTGCTCAGACAAGCAGATTGGAGCCACCGCCCCCCCCTCCCAATGATAACAGTGCGTGACAACAGCAAACAGAACCTGTTTAAAACGGGAACCCATCCTTTAAGCTTCTGCACAGACTTCTCAGAGTCCTTTCCTCCGTCTAACTCTTCCCAAAAGGAGAAGCTAACCTTCACAGAGAAACGCTAGCTAACATTACTAACAATGATCCCTGTAAAGGCTGTGTCCAGAAACCCATTTATTTTCTGCACTGGTTGCAAAAAAAAAGGAGCCATATGGGGCTTTCTGATGCTCTCACATGCACGCAGAGATGCACGCGCACGCACGCACGCACGCGCCCATTCACACGGGAGAGATAACCACAAAGGCCGGCTCCACACACGACCCGTATACAAGAACTCTGTGCCCCAGGGTGCTTGTATAGGCGGAGGCTTGGGTTATATTCTCTTGGGGAGGCAAACACAGAGGAACATGTTACTGTGTTTGGCACAGAGAAAAAACAAAACAAGTCCAGAGAGATCCACTCACTGAACAACGTCTGAACTGGGAGTGTGATCATGCATTTTTTAAAATAGTTTTTCCATTCATTTTGTTGAAAAAAAAGTGAATAATTCGGCCTTCTTGGGTCAGCCGGAGCCCACGTGTTACCTCATGGTTCTGTGATCGTAGTCCAGCTCGGGGACGTCGTCGCCGTAGGAGTGGCCGTAGTGCTGGTGCCTCATGGGATACTGGTGCATGGAGGCGTTGGGCTGGGAGGTGGTGTAGTAAGGGGGCGGGATGCTGTTGCTGGTCTCGCTGCGGTAGTCGCTGTCCCGGTCGTCCACAGCGCTGTCCGGATCCTCATCTGCTCACACAAAACAGGACAGAGGATCAGATCTGAGACCTGCTCATTACAGGCACTGAATTGGACCCTCTGCAGACGTCAGGTGTGCTGATTCTCTCCTCACATCCCAGAAGCTCTAACTGGAGAAAGCGGGGTATTTTTATTTAGCTGGTTTCCCCTATGGGAACATAAACCCACTGCAGGGTTTGTGCAAAAGCCTCTGTTGTCTGCGTCCTATTTGCCGGTTTATTTGTAAATGTAAATACACACATGAAGCCTATTTCCTTTGTGAAAAAAGGAAAAGAAAAGGAAATTAACAAAGGCTGAGTTTGCTTTGGGTTGAAAGAAAGTTCAGAGCGGATGTGTGTTTGATGGAGGCTAATGATCTCCGAGGAAAACTGCGCAAGCAGATCATTACTCTGAGGCATGGACAATAAAAACAGAAGTAATCAAGTCATTAGCAGAAGTGCATGAAAAAAAAACTTACTCTGCTGATCTCCCCACAGACTCCAATTACCTGCAAAGAAATAAAGAGATGGAGAGAAAAATGGGTTTGGCTACAAATTAAACGCATTATCAGTCCACAAAGGCAGCTAAACAAAGTCATGGGAGATTTGTTACCCGGGAAATGATCTTACGGTGTAAAGATGTGAGCGGAAAACTGATAGAAGAGTAAAGTGAGTCTATGAGGAAAACCCTGAACCATTTAAGATACTGTACTTAATTTTCTTTTGGTTTGTTTGCTAACGAGAAGTTGAACATTTTGTTTGGCTTGTGCAAACACGAGCACCTCATTGGTCCGACTGTTCTCCGTCTGACAACCAGCTCAGGTCAGTTCACATTCATCACACCTCTAGCAACTATAAGACGTTTAAAAGTTCGACCAGGCCTGTTCATGACCGATGGATCTCTGTCCGCCCTGAGCTGCATCCGTCCGGTGTGTGTCCACCTCCAGCCTCGTCCTGTTCTCAGTGAGTCACGGTGACAGAGGGAGAGGGGGGAGGAAGAGGAAGAGGAAGAGGAGGCACAAAGGGACACGGCAGGTGACACTCACAGCACTGAGTCGATGGCGCGTGGAGGGGTCGCTCCTGCTCCTCCTGATAGGCGTACTGACAAAGGAAAGTTCATATGTACCAACAAACGTGTTAGAAAAACAAAAATCCTATTTTCAATCCAATTTTTTTAGCTGTTGGTAGTTACAGAAATAAGATAAGTGGGGAGATGCCAAAGGGAGGTGGAGAGAAAACATAATTGGAAATGGATTATTAAAGGATGTTGGAAATAAATAAGAAAGACGCAGTGAGAAATGAGATTCTTACATCTTGGTCTCTCATTGCGTTGAGCTGTTCCAGCTTCTTGGCCCAGTATCGGGCCTCCTCCTCTGGAATGTCTGCAGAAACACATCACGCTGCGATTAGAGCCTCAGACTCTGTACAAGCCTCAATAATAAATCAATGAACGTCATTTTAACTACATTACACGATGCAAGATGCATTAAGGGTAACATAAGAAGATGTAAAAGACATTCTCACACAGGGGGAGGTTATATAAAATAATGTAGCTCTTTCTAAGAGCACTTAGATTTGATTTTCATGAAGAATTGGCTGCAAACATTTCATTAATTAATTAGCGAACATCATTGTTCAGCTTCAAAAAGCTACAGGATCCAGTGGGGGAACGGTTTCTCTAACTGCTCCACTACAATAATTAACTCAGTCAAGTCTAATAGCAAGAGGTAGCGTTAGCATTCAACAGTAGCAATTACAGGAGATCTAATAGTGGGAATAACATGAGCCTCTTATACCTGGAACTGTACTAAAAAATTGAAAAAGGCATGTAGAACGGATATAGCCACGATAAAAGAGCAAACCTAATGGCAGTTCAAAGCGGGTGTCGAGGAGGAGCCTGTGGAAGGTCGGGTCTTTGGTTCCACAGATCTCATTTTCAGCCATGATCACGTTGGAGTCCAGAGTCAGCCACTGACCTGGGCCCTCCTGGAACAGACATGTGGGCCTTTAATCTGAAATCTGTCAACAGTTCTTCAACAGAAAAATAAACCAGACCAACAGCTTTGCAGTTGCACTGCTCTCAGATAAAAGTTAATAGTTATTTAATGCATTTCATGAGGATTTTAGGTCCTCTGGTCTCTGTTCACTGCACCAGAGGTCCTCAGGATAGAGATTTTCAGAAAATGGCCAAATCAAGTAAACCAATCTACGTACAGCAGACGACTAGCAGAGAATCTCATAATAGTGATGGATATTGAAGGCATCGCCTTCAAAGTTGCTTTTGAGTCAAAGGTTTGGGGAAATCAGTGACTTTAAATCAGCATAATTGACCTAACAGGATTCATTTATTTGCTTTTGTCTGAACATGTTCAAACTTCAATTAGAAACGTTTTCAAAAGTAATTTAATGTTATCTATGTTATCACACGAGTGACCAGACCGGAACGCATCTCTTGTGTTAACATATACAGTCAGACAAATTACAGTTGGTACCTCTAATATAAAAAAGCCCCACCCGGTATAAACCCCCATAGTTATAAAACACAAATGATTTGGCCAAAATGATAATGAATAAGTTAGCAATGGGGCTGGAGGAAGGAGTTTTTGTAAAGATATAAAACCAAAGCTCTCACAGTACTCACAGTTAAAAAATAACAGCCTTTTTTGAAGAAAAACTATATTAACTATATTTTGCTTGATAAACCAGCCACAGCTAAAGTGGGGGCCACAGTACCTCATTGGATTGGCGTATGCTGCGCAGGGGGATCCAGACGGTGCCCACCATGGTGTCCCAGATCAGGCCCTTGTTCCACACCTCCACCGTCAGGCCCAGGTCCAGCCGGCTTATTTCGCTGAGAGAGCCATACGCAAAAGCAGAAAAACCGGTTCAAAGAACAGACGGGATGGAGAGGGTTTTCGGCTGGAGGGCTGTCTGGGGCGTCGGGGGCTCTTTTAAATCTGGACACGGATGTGCACCGTGATTCAATCTGCTGAGGGAAATGAGTCACTTAGCATAAAGAGAAGGTGGTTGTCAACAAGGATGTTGGCGAGATATAAGAGGCAGCAGAGACAGGACAACAACAGAGGCTGTTTCTGCACAGAAGATAACTCAAAGTCTCAATTTTCCGCCGAGCAGCACTCGTTCTCATCATGTGCATCTCACATATTATCAGCTCTGCTCTGGACCTCTCACCCAACAAGTCCTGAGCTTGTGCCCAATGGTTTTGATGAAACATAACGTAATGTAACCTGCAATTTCGAGAGCAGAGCTCCTCCATAAGTAGAGAAACAGAGCCAGGAGCAACAGGGTTTAAGGGAGGTTTGAAGATCTATTTTACATTTACAGCTAAATCAGATCGGTGTGGCTGCTAAATAAGGGTATAATTGAATTCCTTTGAAGGTCTGGAGTAACGGGAAAAAGCCTGAAAGAACAGAAATGCTCTTGACAAAGGTGGACAGCTGCATAGTTCAGCAGAAAATGTTATATAACCCCATTCAGGGACGGAAGCTGAATGGAAGCAAGCGGGCATAGATACCTCCTTCCAGGAAAAATAAAGACCCTGGTGACCTGAGAACTTAAACCCTAAGGGGGCAGCTCCCATCATGGTACTCACAACATGAAGTCCTGCTCCCAGCACGGCTGGCTGCCGCGCACGGCGATGGTGGTGCTCTTAACATTCTGCACCTTCAGGGTCACGTACGTGTTGAACTTCTCTGTGGGAGGAACCACACAAACACAAACATCTGGATGGTACCGCCGCCAGCTGAAAATAGCTCGCTCGGGGTAAAAAAGAGATGCTCACCTTGGGGTCCATCCAGCTTGCCTTTCTTCACTGCGAACAGATTGAGAAAAAACAAAGAGGACGTTAGCCTGGAAAGAGTTTAGAAGATGTTTTTCTCCGGCCTATCGGCGACCGATCAACAAACTTTTAGGTCGCCGAGTAGCTGATTAGGGGGAAACTAACGTGCCAGATGTTCAAAACGCCAGTCCAAAGGCTTCGTGTTATCGCTTTATTTAATCTTCAAGTATCCAACATTAAAATAGGTCAGTGAATCAGTTCATAGTCATCCATTATCCAAAAGCGGTAATCCAGAGGTAAACGTTTCACAGCAAACTTAATTAGATTAGATGTAAATCAAAAAGTAGGCTTCCCCCATCACCCACTCACTACTAACTGTCACCATGCGAGTGAACAGGTGATATTGAATTTAATTGAATTGAATTGAATTGAATACACTTTATTGATCTCCAGGGAGAAATTGACTTCCAGTACAGCCCGTACCAAGACCAAACAAACAAAACACATAGACGCACCAGTTCGGGAAGACTGAGGGCAGCCATTTTTCTTCAGAACAAAATAATGTGTATATGTATATGGTAAATAATGTGTGGCCTCTTTGGGACACCAGATGGAGAGTTTGTGCTGGGGACGACGTGCCCTGTGATCTCTGCCTGATTGAAATGTGTTTTTTTTTTTTTTGTGAGCGTAATGTGATGGATCGAAAAACTGAACCTGCTGAGGAGTCTGCTGAGACTCCTCTGGAGGGACCGGACGGACTTTTAAAACCACAGTGACGTCAAAGCCTCGTTCATTATTCATTCAGTCTCGCGCCTTGATGTCTATCATCTCTACGTTCGGTACTTTGAGGTATCAGCATGCAGAGCTCTGGGGTTTGATTCCAGCCGATTGGATATTTTTTATTAATGTATATTTAATCCTGTAATGACAAATGTATCATATTTGATTCATACGGTTTCTGAAATGTTTTGCGTCTGACACCTTTTGCATAATTTAATGGTAAAAACTTTGCTCAAAATCCTATTGTACACAATCAGATACACCTGATAACAGGGGGCAGAAGACTACACAAAAAATAATCTTGACTTATCGCATAGTAATAAATTATTAATATTAAACATGTATTTCTGTTTTTTCTTTTTACATATTTTGTTAAAAGGCCAAATAAAGACTTCAAACCAAAAAAAATAAGAATAATCTGTTTTGGTTTATTCTTGGATCAGGCTTTAAAGGGTTAAGGAAAGAGACATGACCAGTTTAAGACGAATGAAGACATTGTTCAGTAAACGGATGCTCAAAGATTATACATGGAATTAAGAGACGATGACAATACAAAAACACATTCTTTTTCCTTTTTTTCCCCCATTCTGAGTCAGCTCACTCGTCTGTGACGGCAGAGTTCGGGACGATAACCAGTGTGGACAAATTCTTAAAATAGCTTTGCTCCGAGCAAAACCCCCCCAAGAGGAAGCCCATCTCTGAGATGCCACTCTGACTCACGAGGCAGGTGTCTCATGAGTTGGAAGAATTAGCTTCTTTGCCAACTTTAATTCCAAATAAAAACCCAATTTTTGGAGTTCGCAGCCCTTTATATTTAACACACGTTTGACAGTCAAACATTTGTGGCTTGCCACCCCTTCACAAACAGCTTCCTCTCCCCACCCAGCCCTCGGTACTTCCCCTCCATCCCTATCACCCACTCCTACAGGCTCCCTCTGCCATGTGGCGAGCGCGCACGTGCGCTCCCCCCCTCTATCGCTTTCACTCGTGCTCCATTAATCTCTCTGTGGAGCCGGATGCAGGCGGAGAGAGAGCTGCATCCCCAACCCTAAAAATAACCACTTCAGTGTGACAGGGGTGGGCAGGCAGGGAGGGGATGTGTGTGTGCGTGTGTGTGTGTGTGTGTGTGTGTGTGTGTGTGTGTGTGTGTTGCTCACAGGCATAAGACACAAACCAGCATAGCTGCGGTTACAGCACAGAGGACAGACAGAGTGAAAGGGAGAGCGTGTTTCCTGCACAGCCTCCACAAAAACTGTTTAGCTGCCGCCACAGCGATTACGTGATCTCATTTTCTCCTTTTTTGCCCGGAAAGAAGGAGAAAATGCCCTGATGGGTAGAGGCTAAAAGGTGTGTGTGTGTGTGGGGGGGGTTGAATTCTTGAGGTTTTCCTCTCAAAAGTTTACAAAGTTACTACACTTGGGAGTAATTATCCGATACTAACCTGTGGCCATAATGGAGGCCGAAAAATGATTGAAGGGAAACGGCAAATTTAGTGCTCACAAAGGTTCAGATGCGCTAGCCAGTGAGGATTGTTGTCAGATTTGAGGACGCTCATCCCCACACAGATGCACACCTCTTATAGAGTCAATAGATGATGATGAGAAAATGCCAATAGAGACTAAAAAAAACCCACTGGGTTTGCAACGCTAACAAAGCTACAGCGCAAATCTCAGTTCTGACTCCATGTGATTAGTAAGAGTGTTGAGGTAAGGAAAATCTTTAGGAGAAAAGCAAGCTTAGTCAAAACTCTCGCTGAGATCAAATAGGTTTGAGGAAATACGTTTAATCTATTTCAAATTTTTTCCATGGAAAACCGGCTCTGTACTCCTGCGTTGTTTCCTCATTTTAAGCTTCATCGTGATCTAAACTATTAACTGTAAGGAGGGAAAAGAAGGGCTGCTCCTCTTTTTAAATATTGCTAAGACGGCCCTCAAAATTACTTCACATAGAACACACATTTCACAGTGTTTGTGTGCGTTTAAGTTAAGCTTCTGGGATGGCAGTAGAATATTTCCTCCTTCATCTTTCTTTGTGTGATTTGGGCCATCTTGTTTAAAGCCAAATGCCTCCAGAGATTCACCTTAAATGCAGCAACCCAAACCCAAACCACTATAGCACCACCGCTGTGTTTCACAGATAAGGATAATAAGGATAATAACTGACCCTAAAATATTGATTCTAGATGTCTTATTTATCCCACTTTCATCCTTAGAGGTAACATTTATGATTATCTCAGTTTAATGAGGTGATAACAGTCTGGATAGGATGAAGCATACGGAAAATGGTTGGAGTGGATAGAGATTGCGTTATTTAATATTTTGGGGGGCTCCGCCTATCTTTAAATGTATCAATCAACATTTTCAGATAATAACAGTGATTTTCATTGGCTGATCTCTGATTTTGACATGCAAAACAAATAACTTTTTCCTCTAATCTTTTTTAAATGAGTTTCTCCTGATCGAGAGCCACATTATATTTATGTGGAGTTCCGGCAGATTCCAGCGGCTTCACAGACAGTTAAACTCCAAATGTCAGCTGGGTTTGATGTGGTCGGTTAGGGTGACACTGTCTTTGCCTACAGGGACGTTCTGCTCTTTGTTTACAGATTGAAAAGATAAAATATTAAAACAAAAACCGAACCAATACTAAGCACAACATAATATAAAAAAACAACATATACGATTATCAAGACCACAGTGAAATATTATGTAATGTTATGCTAATATTATAATTAGTATGACCACTAAAGTCTTCAGGAAAAAATAAAGAAATATATATTTTTAACACATAATTGAAGACATCAGCAACAGTAGTTGGATCTTAGTGCCATCATCTTAGTGCTCATTCAAAAAGAGAAGTGTTAGGTTATTACCAGGAGTCACATGGTTCTCTCGTTTATCTTTTTTCCACCTCCTTTTATGTGATAAAAGAATAAAGCTGTGATCTGGCTGGCAGCAGTTATGAATCAGGCCCTCTGTCTCCCTCCAAATCTGGACAGAGGGGCTCGTGTCCAGCTTTTTACTACGTTTTTCTGGCACAGCCAGGCGCGCACACCCACTCCACTATCGATCCGGTTGTAAGCAGAGGGAAGATTTTGTACTAATCTGTCCTCTGAATCAGCTGTCCGGCAACATTTCCACGCGCTTTCTCACCAAAGCATGACACTTTTAAACATTAAACAGGCGGATCGTGACGTGAAATCTTCATTTTTTTGACGGACTCGGTACATTTCCCTGAAACTTGTCATATGGAAGATTGCCATCTTAAAACACAGACGTGACATTTTTAAAGCCATCTCAGGTGTTAAGATAGTACGGAGGGGTCTGAAATACTTAGATGAGAGGGGAAATTGTACCGACAAGACAGAAATTATTGGGGTTTTTTCTTACCTCCAACGCAAAGCAATGACATTTCTGTCGCGCTCCTTTATTCCGGCGCCCAGCTTCGTTCCCGGTGGCTTTCTGGAGCTGAGCCGGGGATGGATGGATGGATGGATGGATGGATGGTGGCTGGCCGGGTTTTTTTTGCGGGACCAGACCCGGACGGGTTCGTGACAGGCTCGGAGGCTCGGTGGTTCCGTGCCGGACTGTGGTTTGAGACTCTTTTGGCCCCCCCCCCTCTCTCCCCGGTGGTTCTCAGCTCTCCGGTCCCCGACGCACAGCCATCTTGTTCAGCTTCAGCACCACCAGCTGCGCGGACAGCTCCCGGCGCTGACGTCACGGCGCACGGCGCGCGCGTGGGAGGCTCGAGCTCCGTTAATAGCGACCCCTTCACATCTCCCAAAAAATAATTAGCCGTAATATATACTTACAGCCCGTGGAATATAGCATTGCCTTGCTTTAAAATTGAACCTATTAACCAATAAAAAGGAAAAATAGGATACATATTCCAATGTCTGCCCATTTTTAATAGATTCAGAATCAAAACTTCAAGTGTGTGCTCTGATTTTATGGTTAAGTCGTTTTACAAGCTTTAATATTGAGACGTTCCGTAGAAATACGTATACCTTGATATCTGTAGCCTAAATATGACACAAGAGATTTGGCAGAAATGGAATAAATCAAAGCCGGTCGGTGGTTTTCTCTTCTCGGGCAAAAATTAGTTCTCCTGAGGCACAATCACACCCTAAATCCACAAATCCTGTACACAAATCCAAACTAATGAATGGCCCATAAACTGGAAATTGTTCAGTTGCACTATGAGAAGACCAACAGCGCCACCTGCTGTTAGTCCCCTTCAGAACCGGAGCTCTTTGATATGGAACCCAGGCTTTCCCCCACAGTGAACAGGACATTGAACGCATCAGCAGGAAGCGGGATGTTCCACATGGTTTAATGAACATTTGTAAAAAATGCAAACATAATGCGCGAGAGTAGAATGAATGATAACGTCTGAAACAGCTTTTCCTTCCAACTCTTATACAGAAACTTTTACATTGGATTTGATTTAACCCCATTCCAGTTTTTTTTTTTTTTCCTATGACAAATTGCTGTACATCTCCTGACCGTCACACACCAAACACACACTACTTTACTGGATCTGTGCACAAATGGGGCCTGAACTGGCTGAACTGGGACAGCTGAATCTGCTCCACTGTAAAAACAGAGCCGAGTAAAAACAATAAAACACCGGGGAGCGTGCGGGCTCTATTCACAGAGACCGCGCTGACCTATAAAAGGAAACAAAGAAAAACAAAAGGCCGTTGGTGCGGCCCCCTCTGCTGACCCCGCCGCCCCCCTGGCTGTGCTGAGTGGCCCTGACCGGGGCTGTGGTCAGCAGCCAGGTCCAGAGGGCCTAGGATGGGAGTTTCTGGGGGTCTGTGTCCAGAGTCTCCTCACAACTTCTCACTGTTAAGAAGAGAGCCCACGGTTAGGAGACACGTCCTCACATGGCCGTCTGTAGAGTAGACGACAGTAATGTCTAAGGAAAAGCCCCCATAAGTTACCATGGAAACACCAATCAGTTGTTTAGTGTGTCAGAACCCCCCTGTGGGCCTCTTAAAGCCCGATATCAGGGCCCATTTACAGTTACATAAAGTCCACAAACATGGTCTTTGACAGTTGAAATGAGACAAGAGGAAGGGTTATTCTGAATAATAACAAATCAGATCGATGAGAAGCCTGATGTTTGTCATATATGTGGAACCAATGGGTTAACATGTACACAATATTTTAAAAAATATACTTTGTTGAAAGCCTTAATATATGAATATTTGTGTAACAGATTGTACTGTAATGTGAAATAATTTGAAATGTATCGTTGTTCTTATGAATTATGTGATCATTTGATATGTTTTGTGTATCTGTATCATTTTAAAAGGACCCCAGGAAGAGTAGCTGTCAAATTACTGACAGCTAATGGGGATCCAAATAAATAAACAATAAACAATAAACATCAGCTCCTTCTGGGTCTGAATGTAAGCAGAGATCTGTTTCCCGCACACTGGAACATGCACTGAACATCTCACAAAGTCTAACTTTTGGAACAATAAGAAGTTTCCATTCAGCTGAGAGTAAAGCCCTCCTTTATGTTTTTATGTTTATGAATTTAACAGATTATTTTATCCAAAGCAGGGGTGCACTGAGAGTCTAACTGGGGACCTCTTGATCCACAATCAACAGCTCTACCACTGAGCTATCCCCCATCCGTCTGTATCATGTGACTGATGTTGGGGTCACCTGTCGATCTGGGAGAGGACCTCGTAGAGCTGGCTGGCCAGCGCCCGGTGTTTGTGGGGGTTCCCCTCGATCACGCCACTGAGACGACTCAGGTACGAATCCAGGTTTCCGAAGGACGCCGTCTCACCTGTACCTGTCGCCGGATTAAAAACAAACGATAAAATCCACCTTTTATATCCTGTTTTGCTCAAGGAAAAGTCTCCCACGTTTAGGCAGCAACCAGTTAGCATTAGTATATAAACGGATACGGTTCTAGCTTCACAGTTAAAGGCAACTGTGTTATTTAAGAGGGCAAACAGACTAAAAACAGTGTATTAAGGGGGACATATTATGAAAAACCAAGTTTTTAATGATTTGATTATGTACATTTGGGACTGTGGAGGGCCTATCAGCAGGCAAAGTGTGAACAAAAATGACTCGGTCATGTTTTTGTGGGCCGCCTCAGTCTGAATCCAGGAGATAAATCAGGAGGTTTCAGGAGTGGGTAGTTTCTGACGTCATTAGCTCTAGCTCATTATAATATTCCAGCCTTTCACCCGCATGTTGCCCCCCCCCTCAGCTTACTCCCCTATCTGTGGAGACGTCGTGGTAGCGCAAGCGTTAGCATGGTAGCGTTAGCATGGTAGCGTTAGCATGGTAGCGTTAGCATGGTAGCGTTAGCGTGGTAGCGTTAGCATGGTAGCGTTAGCGTGGTAGCGTTAGCATGGTAGCGCTAGCGTGCCGACGTGGGCACACCTCCCTGAAGAAGTGGGTGGATTGCCTGTGTCTCATTTGCATTTAAAGAGACAGGCACTCCAAAGCGAGCGCTCTGAACGGGGCTGTTTTGGGTTAGGGTTAGGGTTAAGGTTTGGCAGGGGGACTGAACTGCTATTGGGCTTCATCCTTATGGGATTTTTGACCAAAGCTTGTTACGGACATTACATTAGGACACCGGGGAACTAGCTTAACTTGTTGAAATAGAGTATAATATGGCTCCTTTAAGTGTTAAAATGGACTGATCCAGTGTTGGTTCTGGACTCACCTGGCAGTGGGACTGAGGAGAGGCTGCTGACCAGCGTGTGTTTGATGGCCAGCAGGTGCTGGTGGAGGGCCTGCGTGCGCTTCTCGTCCTGGCCCAGCTCGGCCTCCAGCCGCTCCTTGGCGTTGTTCATGTCCTTGATGTGGCGCTGCAGCACGGCGTTCTGCTCCTCGAACTCGATGTTGGCCTTCCGCAGCCGCCGGAGCTCCGCCTCCCGGGCTGCAGGCCCCAAAACGCACACACACGGGTCAGCCCAACCACGGTCCACACATCTGTGTGTTCACACATCTGTGTGTGAACCAGGCCAAGAAACAGAGGACGGTACCTTTGTTCTGATCCAGGAACTCTTCCGTGAAAATGGGGATGTCGAATCTGCTGGAGAGGTCCGCAGCCTGGAAACAGGAAGAGGATAAATGAGTCCTGGGCTTTTGGGATATTTAACCCTTTAAAGCCCGATCCAAAAATAAAACAAAACAGAAAAATTACTTTTTTTTTGTTTGAAGCCTTTTTTTGGCCTTTTAACAAAATATGTAAAAAGAAAAAACAAAAATACATTTTTGATATTAATAATTTATTAGTATGCGATAAGTCAAGATTGTTTTTCGTGTAGTCTTCTGCCCCCTGTTATCAGGTGTATCTGATTGTGTACAATAGGATTTTGAGCAAAGTTTTTACCATTAAATTATGCAAAAGGTGTCAGACGCAAAACATTTCAGAAAGCGTATGTATCAAATATGATATATTTGGCATTATAGGGTTAAGAGAGACGGACAGATGGAGATACACACCTTCGTGAAAGACGGTCCTGAACTGGAACTGACTATGACCGAGGGGCTGTCCTCTGAAAGTCACCAAATAAAGATGATTAGCTTCCAACACAGTAAAGCTAAGCTGCCTCTCAGAGGGTGGAGCGGGAAATATTTCAGTTATAATTAATTCAAGAACAAAGAGGACACAAATGAACAAGGGGCCTAAGCATGAGGAAAACCTGAGGGGGGGGGGGGGGGCACCTTTTTTGATCCTCTTGTCGTGGATCTTGGCACTGCTAATCTGATAGGCCTCGGTCTGCTGATACTCCTTCAGCTCCTGGGCGTACTGCACCTTGTCTCGCTCGGCCTCTTCTAGATAACGCTGTTATACACACATTATTATGCCATTCCATTTTAAAATAAAATCATTTGATCAACACCACCAGCTTAATCTGCAATCTGTTAAAAAATGAACTCATCAGCTCAGATTTAGTTCAATAAAACGTTTAAAAAAAAGAGAAAATAACTACCTTTTTGTCATTTGGGGCTAACCGTGTCCACTCTGCTCCGAGCCTTTTGGTGATTTCTGGAAAAGGTAAGTCGGGGTACCGGGCCCTCATGTGTTCTCTCCTCTCATTGAGAAAGCGCACGTATCCCGTCACTGGGGCCTTGGGGCCGTTTGGTAACACCTTTTTCCTTTTCTTCCCTTTCGGCCAGCCTCTTTTCTTTGGCTGAACAGAGGACAAACCACACGCTGAGGAAGGCCGATGCTGCATCTTTATCCACTCACAACACAGATTAGAAATTCAATGGTTTTTTTGTGTTCATGATAAATTCATTTTTATCACCATCAGTGTTCAGTCTGAATAAAACCACCCAAGTGAAGACCTAATATTTTAAACAGTGACCTATATAGTTATTACCTGCCCATTTCTTTAACATCTAAATATAAAAAAACATCATGTATGATTGATACACAATCAATTTTAACTATAAAAATTGTTGCAGCCGCATTTTCCGATGGACTATAATCTAAAGTTTATATTTCACCTGACAAAAAAAACTGTAGCTACCTTATGATTAGTTTAACTAAATCATTTTTTTCTTTTCCAATTATTTGATTAATTCAATATTGACATCCCACAGTGGTTGGTCGACTGTTGTATTTGTGAGTTTCTTTTTTTTTCTTCTGATTTTGTGCCAATTGAAATTGTTCAGTGACATCATAAATGCATCAGTTAAATATCTAATGATAAAACCTGGTTTATAGAAAAGATAAATAAAGAAAATAAAAAGATGGAGGTTCCTCGGGTCAGATTAGGGTTCCCACCTCTTCTTGTGGTTGGTCCATTGAGTGTGAAGCTCTTAGCTGCTGGGATGCATCACTCTGCTCTTGTTTGATTCCTCCCATCATCTGCAGCCTGTGGGGGAAAAAAAAAAAATCTTTATCAGTCTGGGACGATTTGCTGGGAAAGCTCTGAGAGGAAAACTACACCCAGAAATTAACCAACCCCCAAAAAGATGAGGATCTGCCTCCCAACAGAGACCACCTCTGAAGCTAACCTGCCGCTAACAGTCAGTAGCTAACATTAACTGGTCCGTGTCTCACACATACGCACGCACGAACACAAGGGACAAAATCAACACAAAAAATGTTCAATGCACCCCAATTAGATTAAAAGATGCATTTGTATATTTGGAAATATTATTTCAAAACGAGTCAGGGTAATATTCTGCAGAAGTAATCGGTTATAAAGATAGTTTTTGTATAAACGTTTATTTCTCACCCGATGAGTCCCACGACCAAACAGGAAGAGAAGTATCCCGGCCAGCTGATTGGTCCAGAGAAAGGACGCTGATTGGCTAGTTGAAAAAAAACGACCCGCCCCTTCCCCAGTATACGCCGGAGTTTTAACCACCGCGTACAAAATATATATAACAAATACATAGACAAAATATTCAGTTTAACATGAATTTCCTTTTCGTTTTCAATTTATTTATAGAGTTCAACCTACAAAGAGCTTGGCAACACCGGGAAGCGCGTCAGTTAATGATAAAACTTCTTGAATGCTCCAATAGTCCCATTATTTTTATTTAAACACAGAGAATGTAATGTAACTAATGTAACATGAATCTTAATCAGATTTAAAAACATATGAACCATTCATAAGCATTAGTGCTTGGAATTAATTTTAACTTATTTTTTATTCCTAGGGTGTAACATTTAGCTTGATCAAAACTTTTGATGAAATTCAACACAAATGGTACAAATCAAATTTAAAGTAACTTATTGATTTAAATTAAAAATACAGGCATCTGGTTTTTTTTTTTTTTTTACTTTGCCTTTCACACTGTGGTGAAAACAAACTACATCACAGCCCACTTACCTCCTTTATTTCTTTATATTTGTATTCCGCTGAACAATAAGATGCACCAGTTTCTCCATTTCACATGACTGTATATAATAGATTTGCTTTACTAAACATTCTTTGGTAATTTTCATGTTTATTTGCTGTTGTGACAAAATTCCTGTTTGGGATTAAGTGTCCTGCCTTCCCTCTGGGGCTCAGTGCACGTCACGTCTTCAGTTAACGGGAAATGCACAATCTGGCCCCACCTCCGTTTCCAGCCACCATCTTTGTTTCTCAGTCTGAACAGCAGAGCTGCATTTTTAAGGCTCGGAAAATTAACTGATGCTAAATTCTGCATGTGGGCTGAATCGTATTTACCAGCTGGTCCTGGACTGATTTTACCGGCCCTGTATGAGCAGATACATGCAGAGAAGAGGCAGTCAGAGGTTTCTCAGGCCCTTTCCCACAGAACAGTCCCTAATCACACCTTTATCTTCAGGTCATGCGTGTCCCAGCTGGCTGGAGCCGGTTCAGCATGTCTCTCTGCTCTGTAGATTATTAGAAATCCTCAATTTGGCAGTGGCTGACGATCTCACATGACTAAAAGGATTAGGATCTGAGTTCTTTCAGAGGGAAATCTTTAGCAAAACAGTAATCCATTACTTCTCCAAAAAACAAAAAGACAGATAGTTAAGTTTTTATTTTCTTTTATTCATTGTTTACAATTTTTGTGGTCATTTCTTTTATTATGGTCGATACTTTTGGCAAACATTAGTGCTCACTGTGGTCTGTACAGTCCGGTCCCACGAGATAAAACGTACATTTGCTGAGAAGGGAGGAATGAGAGAAGGGTGTACTGGGCTCCAGGCTTTTACAATTTGTCCAGGTAGTTGTCCAAGGCTGGGACGCCCTCTTTGAGACCCTTGCGTTTACGCGTTTCCAGGACAACCACGCCAGGCTTGCTTGTGGGTTCCAGCGGGTTTCCGGGGAGGATCTGCCAGTGGTCAAACACGCACTGTGGGAAGGCCTGGCCGCCGGTGTTGGAGCGAAGGTCAGCTGTGAAACCTGCAGACAGACGGGGAAACAGGTGAAAAACTGCTAAACGGCGAGCAGCTCAAAGGCAACATCGGGAATATTCCCAAGATGCCCATCTAATTAGATTAAAACATACTTCATTTATCCCAAAAGGAAATTACTTGTTGGTGTAGCTCTTTTAGTTGAGGAGTTATTACAGATATGAATACTTGTGGGCAGAAAGAACTTCTGTAGATTCTGTTTTATAACCAATCTGAAAAAGCCTGACTGAAGAGACTGTTTTCTAATGTAGAAAACAGGCAAAATATAGAATAGAAGAAAAAAAAACAAAAAAACAGATGACTCACCAAACGACTCCATGACAGGCAGGTAGGCTTTGATGACGTACATGGGTGTTCCCATCACCCGCCCCTCCTCAAACACGTGTCCACGCCTCCTGGTCAACACACCATAGATTCCACCCATGGCGGTTTCAGGGCACTGCAAAGAGGACATCAGAACGTTAGACCACAGCTCAGACACACCATTTCACCCGTCAATCAACAGACTTTATTTGTCTTCTGGCGTGTGACTACGGCCGCACTGACCTGGATCTCCACCAGGTAGACGGGCTCCATCATTCTGGGCTCGGCTGTGAGCTCGCAGGCGTACAGGACCCTGCGGGCGGTGGGGATGATCTGCCCGCCTCCGCGGTGGATGGCGTCTGTGTGCAGGGTCACGTCGTGGATGTCGAAGCGGACGGCACGCATGTTCTCCTCACAGAGGACTCCCTGTGGACACAAGAGGGTTCAGCACACCCACCGACGGTACGTGATAAAGCTGATGGCCGGGGGGGGGGGGCTCACCTCCTTAGCTGCCCACTGGAATCCAGCAACAACGCTGTCCTTGATCTCGTTGAGGTACTGCACCCCCTTGGTGACGTCCACCAGCAGGTTGGGGCCGTTGCCGTCGGGTCCGAAGCACCAGATCTTCCTGGCCTCGCCCACGTCCCACTCGTACTTGTCGGCCAGGTAACGGGCGCGGGCCTTCAGCTCCTGCCGGGAGGTGACGTCCCCCTTGTCGATGTCCTCGGCCAGGCCCTCCTCGAAGGGGCGGGCCTTCATGAACAGACGGTTGTGCTTGTTGGGCGACTTGGACAGGCACATGACGGATGACTCTTCGCTGACCGTCTCCCTGTAGGACACCACTGGATCCGATTTCTAAGAGCCAGGAGAAAAAGAAGAAGTTTTAAAACAATTCTGAACACGCCAATTTTTATGTCATTCACCAGAAATACTTTGAGCCAGTTGTTTGACTGAGTGGTCGTTCTGCATCACCTTGATTGGAATGCAGGCATGGTCCTCCTCCAGATCCTTCAGGCAGATCTCCAGGTGCAGCTCTCCGGCTCCAGCCACGATGTGCTCACCGGACTCCTCGATGATGCACTGCACCATGGGGTCCGACTTGGACAGCCGCTTCAGCCCCTCCACCAGCTTGGGCAGGTCAGCGGGGTTCTTGGCCTCCACAGCCACTCTGACCACAGGGCTGACGCTGAACTTCATCACTCTCATGTTGTGCGCCTGCTCGAAGGTGGTGATGGTTCCCGTCTTGACCAGGTACTGGTCCACTCCGACGAGACCCACGATGTTGCCACAGGGCACGTCCTCAATGGGCTCGACGTAGCGACCCATCATCAAAATGGTCCTGAGGGGGAAGAGATGGTCAGAAAAAGGCAAACCGAGCCGAGCGGCAGGCGCTGAAGGGCTGGATATAAAACTGACCTCTGAATGGGTTTCAAGTAGAGATCGTCCTTCTTTCCGGGGACGAAGTTTGGTCCCATGATGCGCACCTTCAGGCCAGTGGACACAGACCCAGAGAACACACGGCCAAAAGCATAGAAGCGACCCTTGTCGGTGGTGGGGACCATCTTGGAGATGTACATCATGAGAGGAGCCTTGGGGTCACAGTTCTTGATACCTGAGCACCACACAGAGAAGCCGTCAGAACAGGGGCCACCGCATCGTCACCTAGCAACCCGAGCACCCTGCCATCAATAGACCCTCACCCATGGCGGCCTCGTCGTCCCCGGGCCCTTCGTAGAGCAGCTCGCAGCGGTACTTCTGGGCGGTGACGGGGGAGGGCAGGTGGATGGTGATCATCTGCAGGAGGGCCTCTCCGGCGGGCAGCCAGCGCCGCATCACCGCCTTCAGGAGGGGCTTCCCCTCCTTGTCCTTGTCTTCAGCATCCAACTTGATGTCCATCTTCTGGATCAGCTTGGCGGTTTCGTCTTTTTTGAAGTTCATGATGGCGTCGAACACCTACAAGACAATTCCAGCCAGAGTTAGACAAACCGACAGGAGCCAGCCGGTGGTGACCCGGCGCCACCAGCACCTGCTCAGACTGAAAGTGATCATCACCGGTTATCAGGTCAAAGTGAAGAATGCTTTAATCATCACTTGCAGGCACACAGAGAAATAGCTTCCTGTTTTCTCCTTTCTAACAGACTAAAACTTAGAGAACTGCATACATGTCTCCAGACTACATATTCAAATTGAGTAACTCGTTACCTTGAAGATGGGGTCCAGAACCAGAGCGCAGAAGGTGCGAGCAAACTTCTTTCCATCAGCACCGATGGATGACTTGACAAACTTTCCATTCTCGGTGTCGTAGTACCTGGAACAGACGGCACGCATGTTAACGAGGTCCTGAATGACGGCAGGCATCGGCCGGCCTCCTCCCCTATCATGCTCCGGGCCTCAGACGCACCTGTCGCCCCACAGCTTCTTCATCATGTCCTCCACCTTCTTGCAGCGCTCGGCCCCTGTCATCTGGGCGTTGCCCTTGGCAGCAAACTTGGCGGCATACATCTCAGCAAACTGCTTCAGGGTGAAGGCCCAGCCGTGGAGTCCAGAACCAAAGCCCACTGTTCCAATAACTGGATCAACCTGTGGAGGAGAACCAAAACATCAGAGCAGGAAAAAGCACTCAATGAACAACTAAAACTGAAGCTAATCTGGATGCCGTGCGCTGGGCAGCAGGGTTGGACGCGCTCACACGTACCATGATGTTACCCATTGGTCCGTTCTCATCCTCTCCGTAGGTGGAGATGATCACATTGACTGACTCGACAATACGCTGGAAGGTCTGGTAAAGGTCTTCGGGTTCAAGCTGCAGCTCCAGCAAGGCACGGTCCATCTTGTTCATCATCAGGACTGGCTTGATGCGCTCGCAGATGGCCTGACGGAGCACAGTCTCGGTCTGCACACACACGCCTGGAGAAACACACACAGTGCTGCTTTCAGTCAAAGCTAATCCAATACTAAACAGTAACCCTAAAACAGACACATCGACTCAAAGCGACATGTACGAGCGCACAGTCACAGTTCTACCAGACACCTGTTATCATGAGGAGCTTGGAAATCTTATCCAGAAGTGTTCTCACCAGAGACGCAGTCCACGACCACCAAGGCCCCGTCGGTGACACGGAGGGCAGCGGTCACTTCGGAGGAGAAGTCAACGTGCCCAGGAGAGTCGATCAGGTTGATCAAGAAGCCGGCGCCATCCCTGCTCTGCTTGATGAAGGCCAAGTCATTTTCACTCAGCTCGTAGTACATGGAGATGGCACTGTTAACGGGAGGGAAAGCCTTTTAGACACATTTGGTCACTATAGGGCACACAATCAACACTATAAAGTTATATATAATATTTCTCAAATGGATGCAAAAGATAAAACTTAAAATCACAATTTTAAGAATTCTGCTTTACATAATTAAGTAAGGCAAGTTTATTTGTGTAGCACATTTTGTGTAAAAGACAATTCAAAGTGCTTCATTGAGAATTTAAAAGCAGAAAAACAAGAAAAATAATCAAAATTAGGACAGATGAAAATTGAAGGGTGCATTAAATTAAACCCCACCCTAAAACATGTGCTTTAATAACATTTAATTAGACCAGAGCATTAACTAGACACATTACGAGTGTCTGATAACTCAGTAGAAGCATTCATACGTAAACTGTATAAAACTGTAATGCAACATAAGCTACAAGATCCAGGATATTTAAAAAATGTCAAGAGAACTGGTTATTTTAGCTGCCTGTTTAAACCGACTCGTGGGAAAGTGCTGTGTTGGGGGGGAAAAGTGCTTGACCCATCAACGACCACATGTTTTTGTGTTTAGCTGTTTATTTTTCAAGCAGTTAAAGTGGAACTCGCTTACGTTGACTTGATGGTGATGCAACGCTCCTGCTCGTCTTTGCGCGTGTCGGTGAAACGTGTCTCTCCGGCGCGGGCCGAGGCGATGATGCCAGCTTTGGACACCAGAGAATCCGTCAGAGTGGACTTCCCGTGGTCGACGTGTGCGATCACAGACATGTTACGAATGTTGGCCTTTTTGTCCATGATGACACGGATCTGGTCGACGGTAAAGTTCACCTGAGGGAGAAAAACCAGATCAGAAGGTTACAAACTATGGAAACACTTTTCTCTGAGGTAGAGCTCAAACGGGAAACTCAGCCAGCCTGATGCGTCACAGCTGGCCAAGAGGGGACATGACAAAGCATTAAACACTCCCAGAAAACTGAAACGTACGCTCATGTCTGTAGAAAAGGTTTATTTGAATAATTCGTGTTGTTGTGTACGTCTTTCTCCCCATTTACAATTAATAGCCGCTTAGGTTCGATTAACAAGATACAGAACTTGGATAAATAGTTGCGTAATAAAGCATAAAAATGTTTAAAAGCCATAACTGATCAGCTGATTTGACCCCAAAGCCCTGTGTAATTGTTGCTGACGCAAGATAAAGCGAAATGTTCTGGAGATCCACCCTGTTCTCCGGAGAGCCGCCATAACCAAAGATGACGTTATTGCTTTTTTCATAAAGCCGGAAAATTCAACACAAGTCCAAACAGGTTTATGTCGTCAGAAAATGTATTATTAATCTCAGCAACTTAACAGACGGTATGTTGGGCAGAAAATTAGTTTAAAAACTCAAGATTTCTCTCGTGACAACCGGCATTACGCGTCGGTATGAATAGGCCACGTGTGCAGACTTTGTAACTATGCTACATGCTAACACCTGATAACCCAGCATACCGGCAAGTTTATGTTTCCACCAAACACGCCACTAAAAGCGCGTTTTCTTTATTCTTACCACTCTGCCACTGACAAACTGTCCAAATGGAGCAGACTGCGATTGTATTGAGCGACATAATAAAGACGACAAAAGGGACTTTTGTAAGACAATAGCTAACGTTAGCATCAGGAACCAACGCTGTCAAAGTTAAACACGTCAGTGGCAGCTGATGTTGGCCATTAGGAACTCCACCTGACTGCTTCAACACGTCCAAAACAACACACACAGTGGGTTTATTTAGGTAAAAATGAAAACACAGGTTTTGTAAACAGGTCAGGTTTGGTTTAAGACAGACTCGGGGGGCCCTGCCCAGCTAGCGGCGCAGTTAACAAAATGGTTGCCATTCAGACCCCAGCAAAATCGCCCCATTTACAAGTCTCATCGTATTCTTTCATCACCTATAACAAAACCCTAAATAGGCGGATATGCTAGGTCACACGTGCAGCTTTTCGTTAATTGCTCATAGAAATATTAATGGCTTACCATTTTGA